GAGCCAAAGCCCAAGATGGCATGCTGTGATGGCGAGGCGTGGAGGATGCCCCCGACTGCGGCGTTGCGAGGGTTTGTCCACGTGCCATCCACGTTGTCCTGAACCCTGATGTTTGGGGTTTCCCCTATGGTGATGACCATGTCCACCAAAGGACCTGTTTGAATTCACATTCAGGGGACAGTCGAGGTCTTTGTGGGTTATAGGACAGAGCAAACGTTTTCCCAGTATTTTCCAGATGGCCTTTTGTTCGGATGTTTGGCATCTCCCATTGGGATGCATAAAGGCGCTCCAGCTCAAAGAGCCAAAAAACCGTCCAAGACCCCGGAGGGTGATGAGTGAGCAGTGCGCGCAGTGGCCTTTCCGGACCAGATCGGCTTGCGGGTTGTCCATACGACCTCCTGATGGGTTGAGGCAGGAGATGGCCAAGCCGGCAAGCATTAGTTTCAGCGCCTCTGGCTGGCAGCTGCCAGCAGCGCGACACATACCTGAAAGCACAAGCGGCGAATGGTTGAGCCCTTCTCTTAACGTGTGAAGCCATGTATAAATCTGAATTCTTGTGGATAGAAAAGGGACGCTGGCTTTAGAGCTGTGGTAATCATCTTTGTCGTCTTATTTGGAGCTACCGCTTGGATCCCAATGCTTGCCACCCTCTTCGCGGAAAACACCATGTTGCATCACACTTGCCAAAAACGGCGATCTTGAAATGATAAGGATGCTTTGCCAGAGTGGCGCTGGCTCGCGCGGCAAACGACAAGTAACCAAACGCCTCACCGTATGGCTGCTTTGCATGCGGCGATAGTGCGATGCTTTGCTGGATAAGTAACGACAAGAGCCTGCTGCTCGACTTACTTGCCATGCCGTATGGCTGCTGGAACCAATGTGAATCCATCAGTTGGAGCGTTGGCCATCCGACGACAAACCCGGCTGGCTGGGCGCATAACGCCGGCTATAACGCTGCGAATGGCGATCACGAAATGCGTGGGATACTTTGCCTGGCGCAAGCGCTGTTCGCCTGCCTGCGTGGATAGCAAGCGTGGCACACGCCAGCGCACGGAGCAGCCATCCTGAAGTGATGCGATAACAGAAGCTGGCTGAGACACCGGCTGACATGCATACTGCGTGTGCATCTTTGCTGCCATGAATAGCCGCTGATAGATGATGCGATGGCAGCAGCAACGTGCCATCACCATCAAGCGGCCTGGGATGCCCTGCCGTATGAAGAAAGTGACCATGGCGCATCTGGAGCACGAAAATGGTTTGGTGTTCCTCTTCCAGAAGATGAGGCCATGTGCACATTGCACGCGGATTCGCTTGCAAGGAGCAGAAAGCGGAGAAAAGCAAGGTCACAAGGCCTGCCAAGCAGGGTCGTGTCGTCTTGGACGTGGGAAAGGAGATTCCCAAACTAGAGGACGATTGGCCCGAAAGCAAATTTCCCCAAGCGCTCTTCCAGCCGCGGAGACAGCTTTTTACATCGATGCGGCGAGCCTCATTGCGTATGGTCGCATGATAGCTCCATCTCATCGTCCTCTGAGAAACATAACGGTGTCTTATAAGCTGCGTTTGTTCCAGGCCTTACGCGCAGGTTGTATACTCTGGCTGCCTGCATAGGTAGCCGACATTTACATCTTTCGCTGTTCTTGTCACCATTTGCTCGTACAAATTTCTCTCCTGCTCCTTTCAGCGCTTTGTATCTTATCCTGTGTCTCAGCCTGGGCACAGGCTTGTGGGTATCGCGCACATCGTCTGCGCTTCAGGGTTGCGATTTTCCGTTCGGAGCCGCCAGGAGTACACTCCACAGACTACAGCTTCTTTGCTTGAGCCGGAGCTGCCGCGGACCAGGGGGGAATCGAACCCGCGACGCGCGATTGCGAAAGCAGGCGCGCAAACCACGAGACAACTTCCAAAGGCCATTTTGCGAGTATAAAACCGCACGGCGCCACAGCGAGAGCGCTTCCGACACGCACAATCTCCGCAGAGGGTTCGCCGAGACCAAGCAGAATTCGCACCGCGCCACAGAGAGCGTGTCGACACACACACGATCCCCGCAAGGGTTCATCCGCGCACCGCAAAACGCAAAACAAGCTCGAGTTTTTGCACCTCGACCACGCCGATCCCCGCAGAGGGTCTCGCGGGCGCCGCAAGAATTTTTGTACCTCAACCACGCCGATCCCTTGGAGATCCCGCAGAGGGTCGCGCGCGGGCAGATCAGAAATCTAAAAAAAAAACATAGTGCGTACCTCATTGCGCAGTCGCAGAGAGACCTGCCAGGCGCACGCAGAATCGCAAGCCTCGGTTTTCTCAACCACGCCGATCCCTTGGAGATCCCGCAGAGGGTCGCGCGCGGGCAGATCAGAAATCTAAAAAAAAAACACTCGAGTTTTTGTACCTCGACCACGCCGATCCCCGCAGAGGGTCTCGCGGGCGCCGCAAGAATCGCAAAAAACCTCGAGTTTTTGTGCCTCAACCACGCCGATCCCTTGGAGATCCCGCAGAGGGTCGCGCGCGGGCAGATCAGAAATCTAAAAAAACACTCGAGTTTTTGTGCCTCGACCACGCCGATCCCCGCAGAGGGCTCATCCGCGCACCGCAAAAACGCAAAACAGAAATTTTGCACCTCGACCACGCCAACGATCAAAGTCCTGCCCCGGCGCCCTAGAAAACTGAACTTAACTTACATAGCTGCTAACGCCGAAGCGCTATGCACTTGGCTCTATGCACTTGGCTCTATGCACGGCTCTGTGCACTCGGCTCTTTGCACTCGGCTCTGTGCACTTGGCTCTATGCACTCGGCTCTATGCACTCGGCTCTGCACTTGCCTCTATGCATTTGGCTCTATGGCTTTATGCACTTGGCTCTATGCACTTGGCTCTATGCACTTGGCTCTATGCACTTGGCTCTATGCACTTGGCTCTTTGCACTTGGCTCTATGCACTTGGCTCCATGCACTTGGCTCCGTGCGCTCGGCTGTATGCACTCGGCTCTGTGCACTCGGCTCTATTTGCACTTGGCTCTATTTGCACTTGGCTCTAGGCACTTGGCTCTAAGCACTTGGCTCTATGCACTTGGCTCTATGCACGGCTCTATGCGCTTGGCTCCATGCGCTTGGCTCTATGTATTTGACTCTGCGCAAGTGACTCTATCCAAGTTGGTCCGAGAGCTCCGCGCGGAAGAACCCTTCGCGATCTTTCAGGTACCTCCGCAGGAAGGGTAAGAGCCCTTGATTTTCAACCTGTCAGACAGTTGATGTTTTCCCTTGTATGTCCCACAAATTACGGGAATGGCTGCCCCCATTTGGAACCACCACTTTCTACTGGGCCATAGAGTCACCCAACCCAGTGGGGGTTGGGCCCAGATCCCAGGCATGCCACAGATTGCCAATCGATCCGTTTTCGGTTTTCAATTCCCTAGTTTGCCTACGAAACCTAGGAAATGGACCTAGGGCGCGCCGGCGACTCGACGCGATCACCTTCATTTTAGTCCCGACCCCACTTTTCTGGAGACATGTTTGGCCATCATGTTTTTCCAGCGTCCGAATCGCTGGCGTGTATCAATGGGACCCCCAAACACGATGGTCTTCTTTCGGTTTACCTTGTAACCAAGCCTAAAGCTGGTAGCCTGTCCATTGACAAAGGAAAATCAACTTCCAGGACCCCTCAGTCAGGTTCTATGTTAATGGACAGGAGGGTAGCATGGAGAAAGGACACCGTGTGGGGAGTCCTGTTTCAAGATTGCTGAGGCTGGATGCTCGCTCCGCCCGCATCTGGAGCAAGGACAATGATCGGGACAAGGTGCGTCGGACCATCAAAATGCAGTGAGTTTATTTGCAGATTGATACCCCTAATTTTGCTTTGCTAATTTGAGTTTGAATCTGCAAAATCTCCCCCCCCCCCCCCCGATTTTATCCGCCGGTGTTAGCCGCTCTCGGACAACCGGCACGGCGCCCCTTGCGATTTCACTGGTTACTTGCTAGGTTGGAAGGGAGCCAAGGAGTATCCAAATTCGGGGGCCCCGGATTTGGAGACGAGCCACGTTTCTCTGACCGGCCAAAAGGAAACCCCGAACATTTTGGGAGAGGACCTCAGGAGTTCTGCAAAGAGCCTGGATTTCAAGCAACTTGAGAAGTATGTGACACGCTAATCTGTCGGGGCAACAGGGGCTGGTTGTTTCATATGACAGGGGCTGGTTGTTTCATATGCTGATAATCGAGGTTCAACACCCGGTGTTTATATACTAGCCATGCTACTTCTTTTTCTTTGGGAGGGTTCCCCTACTAAACTAGACTACAGAAAGCAAGTTGGTACCCTTATTCTAAGCTCTCTACTGGAGGACCTCGTGTTCCTCTGGTTTTTTTCAAGTTCGGGGAGCCCCACATTTGGTTTGGGCTGGTTGCCCGGGGCATCGTCGGGCACACCTGAGTAATCAAAACCCGGGTAAGTGAAGGTTAGTAAGGAACAGTCCCAGCCATAAATAGTTGCGGATATCCGATATCCGCCTTCTTAGTTCTTGAAGCATGATTCTGGGTCGACCATTTTAATACCCATCGGTTCTGATTGTCACTCACCTTATTCGCACATCACGCAACTTTTCATTCAGAGAGGAAGCTCGACCGGGGAAAAGCAGGAGCCACAGGCAGGTTCCCGAAACTATCATTTTTTTCGGTGGTGAGGGAGCCAACTTGAATGTTCAATCTGGACCCTCAAACTAAACATAAACATGCGTCAAACTGCCCCAAGATGGTGTGATGTTGAAGGGTAGTTTGAGGGTCCAGGTAGTTGGTAAGTAGGTTAGAACCATGCCAATATCATTGCCAGACTTAGCTTGCCTTTTTACCTTTTGCTACCATTTTTGTGTTTCCGTCATTTTCCTGTTCCAGTAGCATCGCTTACCGGCGGGGAGGCTGACAACTTTTTTGCAGGGGCCCCTTTGCCTGTCCCATCCAAACTTGAGTTTTAAAGAACGAGCTAAGAGTTATGTAAGGACATCATAGTAGTATTCGATAAATTTTAAATCAACCCCACAAATTCGTGAGTTGCACTATGTAGGGAATCTACCGTATCTCAATTGATAGTGGCAAAAGGCTGAAACAAGGGAGGGCACTCCCACGGTTCTGGTGGCCGATTCCCTCTTTTCAGCCACTGTGCTTTTTAAACACCAGCCCTTTGCCTCTAGGCGTTTGGCCAGGTGTTGGTGGAGGTAGGAAGAAGGCACAAGGGCGAAGTTGGCTGTTTTTTACGGAAGCGCCAAGGAGCTTGGCCGCTTCTAAACGGGGAGTGTGTCTTTTTGAATCCCCCCTCTGAAATGAGTGGTTTTGTGCTCAGAATAAGAAGGACACTTGTTCAACTTCTTGGGTCCCTTTCAACACATTCCAAAATAGGCTGAGCACCAACCAATGTTTCCCACACAAATTCTGTGAGGTAGTGTTTCATACTTGGCTATGAACATTTCAGAGTTGTACCTTTTCCTCCAAAGTTGGACATGAATCGCCGAATTTGATGTCCACGATTTCGGGTTTTTACCCTTCGGTCCATATGGAACCCACTAGAGGGTATTGATCTTCCAGGAGGTTCTATGTGGATGGGAGGGTACCTTAAACATCATACTCTGAAGATGCGGGTCGTCTCATAGGGTACGCCAAGGAACGCCCGCAGTCCGGTCGGCCATGAATTTTAGTAGGGAACCTCAAAAGCGGGGGTGACCTGAATCCCCGAAGTTTGATGTCCACCATTTCGGGTCCCTGAAGAAAACAATGCCCGTGTGCTTCCATTTGCTTAAGAGTATTTTTTGTTTCCCCTTGTTGGTTTTAAAAGGGATTTATCACTACTGGACATCTTTTTGTTTTTTCCAAGGATCTTAACCAAATGGAAGTCTGGTGAAACCATTTTGACCGACAGGCCATGGACGCCAAGGAGAAGATCGAGGAAGAGCCGCCCGGCGCGCGAAAATAAGTTCAAGAAAACATTTCCAGCGCGGTTTCCTCTTCTTATTTGGCTGTGGTCAACAAATAGGTACCCACATGGAGCCCTAAGTGGAACCATGGACCAAGACCTGCGGCCCCTGGTGGTTTATTCTTGGGTGACCCCAAATGGCAAGCGCCCTGAATGGAACGGACCAAAGCTGTGGGTCTAATTTTGACCCGTACCCATTTAAGTCTTCTTAGATAAGAAGAAAGATAGCTTCCCCCTTGCCCCCCGCTTCCCCCTTTCCCCCCCCGCTTCCCCCCTCCCCCCCCTGCTTCCCCCCTTCCCCCCCCGCTTCCCCTTCCCGCCTTTTCCCCCCTTTTCCCCTTTTCCTCCCTGTTCCTTTTTCCCCCCATTTCCCCCCTTCCTCCCTTCCTCCCTTCCCCCCTTCCCCCCTTCCCCCCTTCCCCTTCCCCCTTCCCCTTCCCCCTTCCCCCTTCCCCCCTTCCCCCCCCTTCCCCCTTCTTCCGCCTTCCCCCCTTCCCCGCCAGAGTCTCGTAGCTTCTCCCAGGATGGAGGACATCACCACGGTCGACTCGCTGACGGTGAATGTGCCGGCCAACATCGTGCCGCTCGGCTCCGAAGCGCGCTGCACGCTGCACGCGTCACGGGGTCAGGAAGGAGGCGACGAGGCAATGGGGTGAAGTGGCGAAGGGGCAAGAAAGGGGGAAGGGGGAAGGATTGTGGGTGGCAGGAAAGGCGGAAGGAAGGGTGGAAGGAAGGGGCGAAGGAAGGGGCGCAGGAAGGGCGAAGGAAGGGGCGAAGGAAGGGGCAAAGGAAGGGGCAAAGGAAGGGAAGGAAGAGGGAATGAGGTGTGGACACTGAATTGATAGGTTGCAGACTGAAACTAAAACCCAATGTCCCAAAAAGCAGGGGGTCAGATCATTTTGAAGACGTATCAACCCCAATATGCTAAAAGTATGTGTGCGCAACAGAAAGCTGTGTTCACCATATGGGGGGGGTTCTGTCCTGACAGCCGCCCTTGTGACTCTTCATGGGCTCCTTAGGTTTGGATTGTGAGTCATTTGAGGTTTGATCCAGTCTGTCAGCTACGATCAATTTGGGGTTAAGGACATGGAGCCAGTACTTAGTTTGTGACCGCTCATTCTGGGAGAAAAAACAATCTTTGGATCGAATTGGTGAAGTTGGATGGAAACCCGAGGGGGTCACCCAACTAGGTCTGCCTGTTGGGGGCCGTGATGGACTGACCCCGGGTCTGGGCTTGCGCTCCAAAAACTCTGTGGACTGAGATAAGGAGTCTCTAAAACATGGGGACCCCCCCAACAAAAAACCTGATAGAGCCCACAAACCCGAATGCGCATCACTTTGCGCAAACCCAAGAAAAATAATTAGAGAGAACATTTTTCGGTATAAGCCAATGGGGCTCGCAATCAAGCCTACTGCGCAAACTATGTTTTTCAGCTCGTAAAACTGCACTTTGCGTGCTCCACTTGTTGCTACAAAGCTGCGATTTTCAATCTGGAGCTGGACACCTGCGCTTCCCTCGCTTGTACTACAAAGTTGCGATTTTCCAGCCGGAGCTGGTACTTCGCGCACTAGACTTGCGCTACACAGTAGACTTGTACTACAAAGTTGCGATTTTCAAGCTGGAGCTCAAAACTGTACTTCGCGTATTCTACTTGCACTTCAAAGTTGCGATCTTCCAGCCAGAGCTGGAAACTTGTACTTTTCGTACTATACTTGCACTACAAAGTTGTGGCTTTCCAGCTAGTGCTGGAAACCTGCACACTTCGCGCACTAGACTTGTACTTCAAAGTTGCGATTCTCCAGCTAGAGCTGGTACTGCAACGTTGCGATTTTCCAGCTAGAGCTGGAAACCTGTACTTTGCGTACTAGACTTGCACTACAAAGTCGCGATTTTCCAGCTAGAGCTAGAACCCTGTACTTCGCGTACTAGACTTGTACTACAATGTCGCGATTTTCCAGCTAGATCTGGAACCCTGTACTTCCTTCGCGTACTAGACTTGTACTACAAAGTCGCGATTTTCCAGCTAGAGCTAGAAATAAATCTGTACTTCGCGTACTAGACTTGTACAACAAAGTCGCGATTTTCCAGCTGGAGCTGGAAGTCCGTACTTCGCGTACTAGACTTGTCAAAGTTACGACTTTCCAGCGAGAGCTGGAAACCTGTACTTCGTGCGTAGGTGCAAGGTTGTGATTTGCAGCTAGAGCTGGACTTCGCGTACCTGTGCTTCGCGTACTAGACTTGTACTACAAAGACGCGATTTTCCAGCTGGCGCTGGAAGCCTGTACTTTGCACGTTAGACTGGTACTACAAAGTTGCGATTTTCGAGCTGGAGCTGGAAACCTGTACTTCGTGCACTAGACTGGCACTTCAAAGTTGTGATTTTCCAGAAACCTATACTTCGCGCGCTACACTTGTGCTACAAAGTTGCGATTTTCCAAGCTAGAGCTCGAAACCTGTACCTCGCGCAGTAGACTTGCACTACAAAGTTGCGATTTTCCAGCGCGTACTAGACTTCTGAGCGAAACGTCTGAGCACAACTCCTGATTGACACCTCTGAGCGACACTTTTGAGCGACACCTGATCAACACTTCTGAACCACACTTTTTCTGATCGACACTTCTGAGCAACAAGTCTGAGCGACCACTTCTGAGCAACACTTTTGATCCGCACTTTTGATGCACACTCCTGGTCGACAGTTTGAGCAACACTGCTGAACCACACTTCTGATATCTTCTGATTGACACTGATGAGCAACACTTCTGATCCACACTTCTCATCGACAGTTCTGAGCGGCACTTCTGACCAACACTTCTGATCCCACTGCTCATCGACGCTTCTGAACGACACTTCTGAACAACACTGCTTGCTGAATTGACACTTCTGAGCGACACTTCTGAGAAACACTTCTGAGTGAGCAACACTTCTGACCCACACTTCTGATTGACGCTTCTAAGCGACACTTTTGAGCGACACCTGATCAACACTTCTGAACCACCCTTTTTCTGATCAACACTTCTGAACAACACTTCTGAGTGACACTTTTTCTAATCGATTTTTCTGAGCAACACTTCTGATCGACACTTCTGATTGACACTTCTGAGCAACAGTTTTGAGCAACACTTTTGATCCGCACTTGTGCTTGACACTTCTGATCGACAGTTTGAGCAACGCTGCTGAATTACACTTCTGATTGACACTGATGAGCAACACTTCTGACCCACACTTCTCATCGACAGTTCTGAGAAACACTTCTGACCAACACTTCTGATCCACTCTGCTGCTCGACACTTCTGAACGACACTTCTGAGCAACACTGCTGAATTGACACTTCTGAGCGACACTTCTGAGCAACATCGACGCTTCTGAGCCACAGTTGACACTTCTGAGCGAACTTTTTGAGCGACACCTGATCAACACTTCTGAACCACACTTTTTCTGATCGACACTTCTGAGCAACACTTCTGAGCGACATTTTTTTTGATAGACTTTTCTGAGCAGCACTTCTGATTGACACTTCTGAGCGGCACGTTTGAGCGACTGAACCACACTTTTTCTGATCGACACTTCTGAGCAACACTTCTGAGCAACAGTTTTGAGCAACAGTTTTGATCCGCACTTGTGCTTGACACTTCTGATCGACAGTTTGAGCAACGCTGCTGAGCCACACTTCTGATTGACACTGATGAGCAACACTTCTGATCGAAATTTCTCATCGACAGTTCTGAGAAACACTTCTGATCCACACTGCTGCTCGACACGTCTGAGCGACACTTCTGAGCAACACTGCTGAATTGACACTTCTGAGCGACACTTCTGAGCAACGTCGACGCTTCTGAGCAACAGTTGGCATTTCTGAGCGAACTTTTTGAGCGACACCTGATCAACACTTCTGAACCACACTTTTTCTGATCGACACTTCTGAGCAACACTTCTGAGCGACACTTTTTCTGATGGACTTTTCTGAGCAACACTTCTGATTGACACTTCTGAGCGACACGTTTGAGCGACCGAACCACACTTTTCCTGATCGACACTTCTGAGCAACACTTCTGAGCGACACTTTTTTTTCAACACTTTTGATCCGCACTTGTGCTTGACACTTCTGATCGACAGTTTGAGCAACGCTGCTGAACCACACTGCTGATTGACACTGATGAGCAACACTTCTGACCCACACTTCTCATCGACAGTTCTGAGAAACACTTCTGACCAACACTTCTGATCCACACTGCTGCTCGACACTTCTGAACGACACTTCTGAGCAACACTGCTGAATTGACACTTCTGAGCGACACTTCTGAGCAACGTCGACGCTTCTGAGCAACAGTTGACACTTCTGAGCGAACTTTTTGAGCGACACCTGATCAACACTTCTGAACCACACTTTTTCTGATCGACGCTTCTGAGCAACACTTCTGAGAGAGACTTTTTCTAATCGACTTTTCTGAGCAACACTTCTGATTGACACTTCTGAGCGACACGTTTGAGCGACTGAACCACACTTTTTCTGATCGACACTTCTGAGCAACACTTCTGAGCGACACTTTTTCTGATAGACTTTTCTGAGCAACACTTCTGATTGACACTTCTGAGCGACACCTGGTCAACACTTCTGAACCACACTTTGTCTGAACGACACTTCTGAGCAACACTTCTGAGCGACACTTTTCTGATCGACTTTTCTGAGCAACACCTCTGATCACACTTTTGAGCAACACTTTTCATCCGCACTTGTGCTTGACACTTCTGACCGACAGTGTGAGCAACACTGCTGAACCACACTTCTGATATCTTCTGATTGACACTGATGAGCAACACTTCTGATCCACACTTCTCATCCACAGTTCTGAGCAACACTTCTGACCAACACTTCTGATCCACACTGCTCATCGACACTTCTGAACGACACTTCTGAACAACACAGCTTGCTGAATTGACACTTCCGAGCGACACTTCTGAGCAACACTTCTGATCGACACTTCTGAGTGAGCAACACTTCTGACCCACACTTCTGATTGACGCTTCTGAGCAACACTTTTGAGCGACACTTTTTCTGATCGACTTTTCTTAGCAACACTTCTGATCGACGCTTCTCATCGACAGTTCTGAGCAACACGTTTGATCCACACTTTTGACAACATTTCTGAGGGACACGTCTGAGCAACACTTCTCAGCAACACTTCTGTTCGACACTTCTAATCGACACTTCTGAGCAACACTGCTGAACCACACTTCTGATATCTTCTGATTGACACTGATGAGCAACACTTCTGATCCACACTTCTCATCGACAGTTCTGAGCAACACGTTTGATCCACACTTTTGACAACATTTCTGAGGGACACGTCTGAGCAACACTTCTCAGCAACACTTCTGTTCGACACTTCTAATCGACACTTCTGAGCAACACTTCTGATCGACACTTCCGAGCAACACTTCTGTCGACACTTCCGATGAGCGACACTTTTGATCGACACTTCTGAACGACACTTCTAATCGACACTTCTCAACGACACTTGTACTGGACACTTGTGATCGCCACTTCTGAACGAAACTTCTGTCTCCAAATGCGCACGGCGGCACAGCGAGAGCGATTCGGCCCACCCAAAGCGCGCAGAGAGTTCACTTTGCGCGCTCAAAATGTGCACCGCGCCACAGCGAGATCGATTCGACCCGCCCGATGTGCGCAGGGGGTTCACTTCGCATGCTCAAAATGCGCACCGCGCCACATTCTGGCGCCACAGTCCCGTGCTAGTTTTGGATGCGTGTCGTAAACGTGTCAAAGTTGGATTTCGTGGCAGGTGCAGCAGTTTCGATGATTTTGAGTTCGTGGCAAGCTTACTTTGCGTGACAGGCGCAGCACTTTCGAGCGTTTTGGTTGAATTTCGTGGCAGGCACGGCACTTTGGAGCTTTTCGTGCAATTTTCGTGGCAGGCGCAGTACTTTGGCGCCTGGGTGTAGATTTCGTGGCAGGCACGTGACTTTGACTCAGCGAGATCGCTCTCGCTGTGGCGCGGCGCACATTTTGCGAACGCGAAGCGAACCCTCTGCGCACTTTGGGTGGGACAAATCGCTCTCGCTGTGGCGCGGTGCGCGTTTTGAGCACGCGAAACGAACCCTCTGCGCACTTTGGGTGGGTCAAATCGCTCTCGCTGTGGCGCGGTGCACATTTTGAATTTCGACTCACCAAAACGAGTCGATTGTACGACAGGGCCAACTAACAGGACGCCGGCGCAAACACTACCACGCGCCTGCCAAGCAGGACGCCTCAAAACGACCACCCCTGGAACGCAAATCCCAATGGCACGGCAACGAGAACACGCAGCCTTCCAAAACACTGCGCCTGCGCAACGAAATAACACGCAACGCTGCAACAGACACGATTCACGCACGGGCACAACGAATTCAGCGCTCCAAGACTCATCGACAAGTCACTTTTTTGCGACAATCCCAATGGCACGGCAACTTTTTCCACATGCGAACGCTCGCGGACGCTTTCGAACGCTCGCGAACGCTTTCGCACGCTTTCGGCCACACGCGAGCCGACCAGCGAACACGACCTTACCCCCAGAGCCCACTTAATAACGGGAACCCTTCGCTACGCATTCGGGAAAGAAACGCACACACATTTTTTTCCTTTGAGTCCCCGTAAAACAACCCTACAAACACAAATTCTCCCAACAAAAAGGCTCAAAACCATATAGGGATTCAGTTGACCAGGAGGGCTCAAGGCCAAACGGCGAAGATGGCGCGGAACAAGCCATGCAGACGCAGCCAGGAACCAAGTGATCAACGACTCCGCGCTGCGGCAGCTACAGGACCAGACGGGCCTCACAGCCAACGCCCGGATGCCCACAGATTTTGGCTCTTGGTTGATTGGTTGGACAATTAGCAGGGCAGATGTCCAACATTTTAGGGGGCCCCTTCATTTTCCCAGCACCTCCTCCCCACCTCCCCCCACTGAGGGGAGTGATTTTTTGAGAAAAAAAAATCCAGTGCCTTTTTCCACGGTCGTTGGGATTCTGAGTTGTTTTTCACCCTGTTGGGAGTTCCTTTTAGGAAGTGCTTTTCCCGCATTGTCTCAAAGTGGTACCGAGCCCTCCCTCAGTTTTGGAGTGTCGAGTTTGGGGTGGCCTTAAGCTTCTGGGGGTTCACAGGCATCGGTATGTTTGGTTTCCCAGGCTGGTAATTCGCCACTGAGCTTTGACAGGTTCCTACACAACTGTGGCTTGGGTCAACATGTCTGTGGATCCTTGAAGACTTTGATCTTCATGATGGGAGCTAGCTTTACCCAGCAAACCATGAAAGGGTGAACATCGGGTTCCTAGCCTCCCTATTGATCGGATATGTGTGGCCAAAATAGCTGACCTTCTAAGTCCACCTAACTCATTTGCTCAGGGTTTATACAGATTCTGGTTGATGATTTTAAGAAGTAGTGCTGGCGTAGCCACATGGCTATGAATTTTCAACAGGATAGGCCCTCCATGGTTGGTGGACATGAATCCCCACCGCCCGCGGAAGGGCTCCGGCAGTGGGTTTGCCATGGCCAAAGTAGGCGGTGTCCCTTTGGTTTACCGTTACACCTCCAGGTTTGGGGTGATTCCAAGAATCCCCGAGCGTTATCTTGATTGACTCTCTGTTTGGTTCCCAAACCGTCAAGGAAAGCACGCAGTCTGTAAAGAATCTTGGGATAGTGGATGATTGGCAAGCCTGGTGTGGTATAGCACAGAATTGCAAGCATACACGTCCTCCGTAAACCAGTGGGAAGCCTAGCAGGATAGTGGCAAGCCTGCACTCCCCAGGGTTACCCCCTCCAATTTGGGTGTCTCAAAATAGGAGCGCCCCCCAATTAAAAAAATGTGGTTTTCATATATGTTGTCCCTTCAAAACAAGGGTACCCTGAAAAACGACACACCATTTCCTAGGTTGAGAAAGGCTTCCGTCAGTTCCAGAAAATTCGGGCCCCAAAATGATCCCGTTTTGGCTTGAACATTACCTCAGGTGAGCTTTCGGTAGGGATGATCTTTGTTGCGCATCTAGGGAACCTTGAAGGGCAGGGCCGATCAACAAGCCACCCAACCTTGTAAAGCAGGTGTATTTTGGATGTGGGCATGGCTTCTTTTTTGGGAATTTGTTTTTGGTTGGTGTTGAAGGGAAACCACAAGAACAACAACTTTGGTACTTGGCGGTTCCTTTAAAATGATGTTAGCCTTTCGCGTAGGCTAAATATGAAGCAGAATCCGAACATATTTACATTTTCTCTGCAGCCCTTTTGTGTGGGCGGTATTTTGAAACACCCACGTCGGTTTGTGCCTTTTTTGCTAGGTACTCTTTCTCACTTTGGTTAAAAAGGGCAGCCAGAAGGAAGTGACGTTCCTCTTTGCAAAGGTCCAAAACCCATACCTTTGGCACATTCCCGTACCGATTGAGGACTGGACAGGAAAAACACCGTACCGCACATACCCGTATTTTGTTTGCTTTTTCTTTTTGTTTAAAGACCCCTAGAACAAAAAGTACCCCATGTTTTTGTTTAAAGGACCCCTAGAAGAAAAAGAGCGCAGACATCAGCCCTAAATTTTGGCACAGACCCGTCCCTCTTCAGGACTTTTGGAACAAACAACGGGCAAAAACATGGCTGAGGCACATGTTTTCGTACCTGTCCAGGCCCCCGAAAAGCCGGGAAAAACCGGGACAGAAACCGTGAAAAAATCAGGAACTTTAAAACACAAAAAGCACACACACGCAAAGTTTTACTTTTAACAACAAGAACGAACAACCCCCCCCCCCAAAAAAAAAAGAAAAAAGAAAAGAAAGAAACACAACACACCGAGACCAAGAAAGAAAGAAAGAAAGAAAAGAAACCGCACCACGCCGAGACCAAAACACCAACAAAAGTCCTATGGCCGAGGTCTGCAAGAACGACCAGGGCACCGGGATCCGGCTCACCGGGCTCTCGGGCGCCATCCAGGAGGCGAGCGGAGCGCCACTTTTGGCTCGGGGGAAAGTCGCGGAGATCCGAGGGGAAAAAAACGGATCCCTGACGAGATGTGTTTGGTTTTTGGTGGTTGGACAGGTGGGACAATTCGCAAAACCACATCTGGGGATCTGATGTTTTTTCTTGTTTTTTCTTTTTCTTTTTGTGTTTTTTCTTTTTGGAGATGTGGGATCCGAAAATTTGCAGACCCATGTGTAAACATAGGGTTCTGTTGGACAATTTGAAACATCTAAAAAACCGGCCAAGGAAGGGCACCTGCAAACGAAACACACACACACACAGCCGCAAACCCACTTGCCATAGGAATACTGTTTGTTCTCCCTTGTTGGTTTTAAAGAGAATCTATCACTACTGGAAATACGTTTTTGGGGTTCCAGGGGCTCAAGCAAATGGAAGTTGCAGGTCAGCATTGGATAGCACCTTACATGTTTGATGACTAACATTTGAACGGTCAGCAAGACCTTGGTATCTATCTTGCAACCACTTTCATTTGGGGAATTTTGTGATTAAGAGCGCTTGGCTGAAAAACCTGCCAATCGCCGGTGTCTATGATGCGGGGTGGGGGGGAGGAGGGGGGTTGCATCGATCAAAAGGGACTGCCGCAGCCACTCGGGCTCTGGGTCCGGTTGGAAGGGTCCTACAGCACACGCATTGTTGATTGAAAAGAGATGTACTTTGATCATCAAGGAAACATGGGGTTGGGACAACATATAGGGTCTGTCTTTTTTTGGGGCACCCTATTTTTGGTGACATTTAAGGGAAACCAATAGGACAACCACCTTTTTTTTTTGGGGGGGGGGGGTCCACTCAAAACGTTCACACCCATATTCCTATGGCGGTCACAGTCATGTCCCCAGCCAGAGTGCAAAAGGCTGCGGCTGTCGTCTACGGAGGGCATGTCTTTGAGCATCCAAATCCAACGCACCATTAGGTGGGGGGGGCCATGCACCAAAATGCCATTTGTATCGACTGTGGCTAGGACACGTTTTGATCTCAATCCTACGAACTTTCGTTTGGGTCTTGTTTTTTTCTTTCGGAAGCAAAGATAAATACGCATTTCTAGGGGATGACGCCTGTGGTTGGCGCACAATCTACTTTGGTCACATCATGTAGTCTAGCTTTATATCTGACATGCAACCACTACAACAAAGGGAGATTGAGGTATGAAGCCCCTAGTTTGTAGCCACTTCGTTAAGACCCCCCCACCCCTGCCCAAAGAAGAATAAAGACCCCTCCCCCTCCCCCCCGCCCAAAGAAGAAAACAAAAGGGCTAGTGATTGGGGTGGCGGAAGCAATCTCAGATGTGGTTTGGTCTGAACTCATTCCCTTATCAGCTAGGCTCTGCCTGCAATCGAAGGTTGATTTGGCAACTCAGTTGAGGCACAATGAACTTCCAGGCACCTTTTGTGAAGGATTTTACCAAGATGCAGTTTGGTAGATGAGAGTTCCTTGTCCAACATGGGTGATAGCTAGAAGCTTTCATTCCTTACCATGGGGCTTGGGGCAGACTCCCTTAAAGCTGGTTCCCTAACCCAAGCAGGGAGATCCACCCATCCACCCACCCACCCCACCCCACCCCACCCCACCCCACCCACCCACCCACCCACCCCACCCACCCACCCACCCACCCACCCACCCACCCACCCACCCACCCACCCACCCACCCACCCACCCACCCACCCACCCACCCACCCCCCCACCCACCCACCCACCCACCCACCCACCCACCCACCCACCCACCCACCCACCCACCCACCCACCCACCCACCCACCCACCCACCCACCCACCCACCCACCCACCCACCCACCCACCCACCCACCCACCCACCCACCCACCCACCCACCCACCCACCCACCCACCCACCCACCCACCCACCACCCACCCACCCACCCACCCACCCACCCACCCACCCACCCACCCACCCACCCACCCACCCACCCACCCACCCACCCACCCACCCACCCACCCACCCACCCACCCACCCACCCACCCACCCACCCACCCACCCACCCACCCACCCCCAAAAAACAACAACACCACACATGTCCTTTGATACCCCACCCCACCCAATTCTCCCATGCCCTTATCCACCTCTGCCCATGGCAATGTTTCGGGCCTTCGGCATGGCTCCCAGGCGAAGGGGCTCATCGAGCGCCGCAGCTCGGGGGAGGGGGCGGAGTTTCTGGCGCTGATGCCAGGCGCGTGGCGCGCGTGGCGCGCGTGTCGCGCGTGTCGCGCGTGTCGCGCGTGTCGCGCGTGTCGCGCGTGTCGCGCGTGTCGCGCTGGTTGTCGTTTTTTTGGGTTTGGAGAGGGGGGGAGCCCGCCCTCGCAGAGCGGTCCCTTGCTGGAGAGGCATGGTGTTTGTTTTGTTTCCTTTTTTGGGGTCCCCGGCTTCTTTTTAAGAGGTTTGAACGGGAAAGCGACGGGACAACGCGAAATATCCGTTTTGGGGGTTTCCTTGTTTGAGGTGCTTGGGCTCCATGTTCGTGCTGCATGTTAGCGCCTGGTCTGGCTTAGAGTCAACTTGCTTGTTTGAAAGGGACAGCGACAGGTAAACACCCTAAATTCGGTGTTGGGGGTCCGAATCCTGCTTTTGACACATACCCGATTGCCCTTGACATCTGAGGTACCCTAATTCTGGGATCTCCTCCATAAAAACAAAGTAGAATAACATACAAATAAGAAAGATGCAGGGGAGTCCAACTATGAGAATCCGACGCAATATCATTTTTGGAGTACTCCAGATGCAGATGCGGGCCCAGTCCAGGAACCCATACTGGTTGATACAGGCAACAAAAACACCTAACCTTGCTGGTTCTCGAATGAGGGAAGGACAATCAAACCCCATCCCTTGTGATTTCCGTTTGGTCGCCTGCCAAAGGGACAGGGACATGGAACTGGCAAGATCCGAGTTCCAATGGCCGCAGGGGGGAATTTTTTCAGCTGCGGCAACGCGCGCCGTGGCTTTCGCACGGAGGCCTCTTCCAGAAGTTGGCGCCCAAGAAGTACGCGGACTTCCAGCGGGACCTAGGCTTCCTCATGCAGAACTCTGGGGCACAGGCGCTTCGCGGTGCGCGTTCGCAGCTTTCGCGGGGCCTCGATCGGCGGGAATTTTCGGAGCCTGAAAACGGGCGGGGGGTGTACGGGAAGCTGGTTGTTGGGGAGCACATGAGCAGGTGTTGGCAATCTATTTTCCCACAAAACGCGCAAATGAGCAAATGGGAGGTTTCCATGGCAGTTGGCGTGTCGCCCTCTCGTCTAGGGAGCTCTTTTCCAGGCTCTTCTGTTGCCCTAAGTCTGCTTGTTGTGGTGTCTCTTCGGTGCTTGTGGTTTTCTTGCGACATTGCACCTTGAGGCCCATGCCGTACCTTGCCAAGGCTCACGGTCGCGCTGGGATCTTGTACTCTTTGGCTTGGTTCATCTGGATGGCTCAGCCACTTGATGATGTCCCTCGGCCAACGCGGCCGGGGCATTTTCAGCTTTGCTCGGGCTCTTCGTCTTTTGCCCTCTCAGCAGCTTTCCTGCTTGCAGCTTGCTTCCTCGAGCCATGCTACGCACCGGCCGCAGCATGTTTTATCGCATGCTCTCACCTGCCACTAAGGAGCCCCTTGGACGCTTCTCCCTTGCCCTCTTCGCCCTCTTGACAACTTCGGAGGTGTGCCCTTCCTTTAAAAGCGGGTACTGCAGTCGTGGCTGGCATTTGGCAGACCGCGCAAGTGATCTTCATCTTGTCCTTTCTGCAAGGTGCTGCAATTATGTTGGTACCGCGTATGTGTTTTGATTCCAGCAAATTGAGCAATATTCCACTCAGCGCAGCGCTGTCGTTGCTGCTGGTTCTCTTGATTGAGTTGCTACTGGTCCTCTCCTCTGACATCCTCTCTCAGGATGCCCAGTTGCCCTACCGACTGTGTCTACGGTGAAAGGTTCTTGGGTTATTAGCGCCTGTGCTGCCATTGGCCGCAGAAGCCACGCACCATGTAATTTCTTTGTGATATTGTTGCCCCAAAGGAAACCCTTTGCAGGCGAAGGGTAACAACTTCAGGCTGGCTTGGAGCAACCCAACGGCAAACCGAACCCATTTTGGTTCAGTTACCCCCCCTTACTTACCCTCAGCGACTTGCGCTATCACAGGGTAGCTTTGGAGCAACTTTTCTTGCCCTTTGGTCGATTTCCATACAACACTAGAAGATGGGTGGCCCGAAAGCATGAGCAGCGGCAGCAAGTTCTCCTAGCAATCCTAGCAAGTTCTCGGCGCAGTTGCGCGTCTGAGCAAGTTGTTGGCGCGAGTTCCTCTGAGCAAGTTCTCCAAGCAAGTTCTCTGTGCAAGTTGCTCTGAGCAAGTTGTTGGCGCGAGTTCCTCTGAGCAAGTTCTCCAAGCAAGTTCTCTGTGCAAGTTGCTCTGAGCAAGTTGTCGGCGCGATTTCCTCTGAGCAAGTTCTCCAAGCAAGTTCTCTCAGCAAGTTGCTCTGAACAAGTTTCCTCTATTCGCGAAACACTTTCGTACTTAAAAGTTGCGATTTTCCAGCCGGAGCTGCGACAGTTTACTTCGCGTGCTACTTCGGTACTCAAAAGTTGCGATATTCCAGCTGGAGCAGCGAAAGTTTACTTCGCGTACTACTTTCGTACTGTTGCGATTTTCCAGCCGGAGCTGCGAAAGCTTTCGTCGCGTGCTACTTTGGTACTGAAAAGTTGCGATTTTCCAGCCGGAGCTGCGAAAGTGCACTTCGCGCTCAAAAGTTGCGCCGGAGCTGCGAAAGTTTACTTTGCGTACTACTTTCGTACTTAAAAGCTACGATTTTCCAGCCGGAGCTGCGAAAGCACGTCGACACGCGCGATCCCCGCAGAGGGTTCATCCGCGCACCGCAAAAACGCCAAAAACCTTGAGCTTTTGCACCTCGACCACGCCGATCCCCTAGAGGGTCGCGCTGGCACCGCAAAAACTCAAAAAACCTCGAGTTTTGTACCTCGTCTCCGCAGAGGGTTCATCCGCGCACTGCAAAAACGCGAGTGTTTGTACCTCGACCACGCCGATCCCCGCAGAGGGTCGCGCGGGCAGAGCTGAAAGCGCAAAAAACCTCGAGCTTGCACCTCGACCACGCCGATCTCCGCAGAGGGTCGCGCGGGCACCGCAAAAACGAAAAAAAAAAAAAAAACTAAAAAAAAAAAACTCGAGTTTTGTTGCCTCGACCACGCCGATCCCCGCAGAGGGTCGCGCGGGCAGATCAGAAATCGCAAAAAACATCGAGTTTTTGCACCACGCCGATCCCCTCAGAGGGTCGCAAACCCGATCGACGATCAACGTCCTGCCCCGGCGCCCTAGACAGCTAAACTTAACTTACATAGCTGCTAACGCCGAAGCTATGCACTTGGCTCTATGCACTTGGCTCTATGCACTCGGCTCTACGCACACGGCTCTGTGCACTTGGCTCTATGCACTCGGCTCTGTGCACTCGGCTCTGTGCACTCGGCTCTGTGCACTTGGCTCTATGCACTTGGCTCTATGCACTTGGCTCTATGCACTTGGCTCTATGCACTTGGCTCTATGCACTCGGCTCTGTGCACTCGGCTCTATGAACTTGGCTCTGATGCACTTGTCTTCTATGCACTTTGGCTCTATTACGTTGGGCTCTATGCACTTGACTCTATGCACTTAGCTCTATGCACTTGGCTCTATGCACTTGGCTCTATTGCACTTGGCTCTATGCACTTGGCTGTATGCACTTGGCTCTATGCACTTGACTCTATGCACATAGCTCTATGCACTTGACTCTATGCACTTAGCTCTATGCACTTGGCTCTATGCACTTGGCTCTATTGCACTTGGCTCTATGCACTTGGCTGTATGCACTTGGCTCTATTGCCCCCCCCCAAACCTTTTTTTTTTAGGCTCTATGCACTCGGCTCTATGCACTTGGCTCTGTGCACTTGGCTCTATGCACTCAGCTCTATGCACTTGGCTCTGTGGCACTCGGCTCTATGCACTCGGCTCTGTGCACTCGGCTCTATGCACTTGGCTCTATGGACTTGGCTCTATGCACTTGGCTCTATGCACTTGGCTCTATGCACTCGGCTCTATGCACTTGGCTCTATGCACTTGGCTCTATGCACTTGGCTCTATGCACTCGGCTCTATGCACTTGGCTCTATGCACTTGGCTCTATGCACTTGGCTCTATGCACTTGGCTCTATGCACTCGGCTCTGTGCACTCGGCTCTATGCACTTGGCTCTATGCACTTAGCTTGGCTCTACGCACTTGGCTCTATGCACTTGGCTCTATGCACTTGGCTCTATGCATTTGGCTCTATGCACTTGGCTCTATGCACTTGGCTCTATGCACTCGGCTCTATGCACTTGGCTCTATGCACTTGGCTCTATGCACTTGGCTCTATGCACTTGGCTCTATGCACTTGGCTCTATGCACTCGGCTCTGTGCACTTGGCTCTATGCACTTGGCTCTATGCACTTGGCTCTATGCACTTGGCTCGATGCACTTGGCTCTATGCACTTGGCTCTATGCACTTGGCTCTATGCACTCGGCTCTATGCACTTGGCTCTGTGCACTTGGCTCTATGCACTCAGCTCTATGCACTTGGCTCTGTGGCACTCGGCTCTATGCACTCGGCTCTGTGCACTCGGCTCTATGCACTTGGCTCTATGCACTTGGCTCTATGCACTTGCTCTATGCACTTGGCTATATGCACTTGGCTCTATGCTCTTGGTCTTTGGCTCTATGCACGGCTCTATGCACTTGGCTCTATGCACCGGCTCTATGCACTTGCTCTATGCACTGGCTCTATGCACTTATTGGCTCTATGCACTTGGCTCTATGCACTTGGCTCTGTTGGCTCTATGCACTTGGCTCTATGCACTTGGCTCTATGCACTTGGCTCTATGCACTTGGCTCTATGCACTTGGCTCTGTGCGCTTGGCTCTATGCACTTGGCTCTATGCACTTGGCTCTATGCACTTGGCTCTATGCACTTGGCTCTATGCACTTGGCTCTATGCACTCGGCTCTATGCACTTGGCTCTATGCACTTGGCTCTATGCACTTGGCTCTATGCACTTGGCTCTATGCACTTGGCTCTATGCGCTTGGCTCTATGCATGTGGGGCCATTTTGGGATGTTCAACATGACGTGGGCCTTTCACCCTGGAAAAAAGGGCGCGACTCACCCAAAGGAAGCGCCGGACGCTTTGGCTTGGCCGAGCCGAGTGCAGGTCACCATCGCGGAAGGCTCCAACCGCGCCGACTTCCGGGGCGGCCCGGAGGAGGCGGAAGCGAAGTTCGCTCGGGGTTGATTCCTTTTCCGTTCTTTTCAACCACCGTTCTTTTGGAAGCTGCTTCCCATGGTGATTTTTGTGGCTTTCTAGAAAGAAGGATCCCTGGGTTCAGAATGGGGAAGCCACCCTTAGAATGAAGCTTGCTGCCGAGGTGGAACCAGCAGTCGACATAGTTCACTGGGGTCTGGGCGCTCTGAGGGTGGTTCTTTAAAGGCTCAGACTTAGACGGGTAGGTTGCGCATTTTTTTCCGCACCAAAGTAGGCGAAGAACACCCCACACACCGTTCAGCGAAGAAGGGGTTAGTCAGATATCCCTTATGTTTGGCCCCAGGGCAAGTCGAGTCCCTGAGAAGAGGGAAGACAAGCTATGACACGTCAGAACTCTGCCCGTGGGGTTTGGGTTTACCATGGGCACCCACCTGGACTTAAACTTGTGGTGTTGGGACCGTTTGGGTGGAAAGCAACAGGCATGTATAGATCACTAAACCCCTGGGGCGCGGTGGTAGTGGTTTGGGGGTAGTGGAAAAAAATATAGAGCTAGGGTTGCGCAGGTTTTAGTCCTTGGTTCCATTTACCAAGGTGCCATTTTGGTACATCGTATTTGTGAGTCACAGCCAACTCGACACCAGCCGAACGAAATGTTGACCGATACTTCACGAGCCTGAACTCCACTAGTCCGATTCAGAGCCATGACAAAGCCAGAGGGTGACAGTTTGGTCCCAAAAAGGCACCACGCTGGTCACTGAGAGTCACGACTCGGCCGCGATGGCTCCCCTTGCGAGGCTTTGAATCAGTCAATGCAACTTCATGGGGGCTTGGGGGGGGGAGGGGGGAGGAAGCCCTTAGTAAGGCCTTATTCAGGGCTTAATAAGGGCTTATTTAGGTTCTCTCCCCCTCCCTCCCCAGCCAACAAGAAAACTCGAAATGTCAGGTACGGCATGCCAAGTCGGAGCTGCAGAAGATCTTGCACTTCTACTTCGAACAGGAGCAGCTAGTGGCCTTTGGGCTAGTTCGCGGCCTGGAGCTGGTGCGCGGTTCCTGTTTTGACTTGGTAGCCTTTTTGGGGCTGCTCAAATTCAAATCGAATTTGGGGATCCCTATGTGAAGACACCCCCATATGGCTATGAACTTTTCGAAGGAATATTCCCTCGAATGGCAGGTGGACATGAACCTAGTTTTTCGGGAGGGTCCCCAATTGAAGAAATGAACCGCACAGCCAGACCTGGGTCCATGGCAAGGGAGCTGCGAAAGGATCTAAGAATAAAATAACATGAGGCCACCTCTTTTGGAGTGGTGGTTGTTTAAGGGGAAACCACCACTTTAAGACACGGCCATATCGTATCACTTTGGTCCATTGGCTAGCAGCAACGGATCTACGAGATCCCACGTGGATGCTGGAGTTTCAAGCCAGCTAGGCTTAGGGTTTTTCCAATCCAAAGCCAATCATGGCCTCAGAACCACCTCACCTTTTGTAGAACCCTCGCAATGCGCCCGGTTGGTTTCCTGGCCTGAACCACTTGGGGATTCCTTCCAGTGACATCCTACGGTTGATCAAGCCAGTTTTAGGAAGCCGGACATTTTCCTTCGACGTTTTCAGGGCTGCGGCGAATGGACACGCCTTGGGTTCCCCTGACGGGACATGGAAAAAGTGGTCTGAGCTTCCCCTTCGCCGAAGGCTCGAGCTGGTCGTGCGTTGGTTCATGGCAACTCCACCATTTCTTCTCAGGGGTCCTTCTTTCTCGAAGACCCAATAGACGCAGCATCCATTTGCTTAAGAGTATGTCATATTTTCTCCGACACGAACCATGGGTGGAAAGAAGGGGGAACCAACCCCTGGAAGCATAGGTCGACCACAAAGAACGACGTACTTCCCCGCCACGCAGAGGATTCCTCGGAAAGTACCTTTGCCGAGCAAGGACGGCACAACAGCCATATTTTACGGTACTTCCCAGATGTTTGCTTGTTCTAGGCCTTCTAGGCTGTGAGTCTAGTCGTGACACCCGCGGCAAAGATGGTGCAAGCACGCGGGTTTACATCTCTACCTGAAAGTTTGAAATGCCTGGGCATTTCATAGGCAACCTTCTCAGTGGCTGGACATAAGTCCCTGCCTAAATGTGGCTCAAATGAAGGAGCTAGGGCTACGCAGGTTTTAGTCTTTGGTTCCATTTGCCAAGGTGCAGGTTTTTGAGCCACTGCCCACCAATCGGTCGGTTGAAATCAGCCAGGAGTGCGACACCATTGACCTCCCGCCGGAGTCGGCTGGGACCTGTTCGCTCGAGGGACAGACTTGGCAGCCGGTCTCTGCCTATTTTTACAACGAGCTCGGAGGGTAAACAGGCTGCGAACATCCTGTTAGGGATCCAATCCTTATTTCAGGTGTTGAACTGAAAGTCCTTCCAGGGATCCATTTTTTTTCGGGTTTTGGAATTGCAGAATTTGCAGACCTGTGAAACCAGCTAGCTTTGCTCTCCTTTGGTGGGGAAAGTGCACGAGTCCTGCCCAGGTTGACATAGACCATGGCAAACACGCGCATTCCATCCGCAGGGACAACAGTAATCCGACGTCCTTTGATCAGAACATATCAGAACTCATGGCATACATCGGTTTGTCCTTCGAAGGAGGGTTCTGTTTGACCTCGACTTCCAAAAGAGGGGTCTCTTTTCCGCTGTGGTGAATGGGGGCCTGGGGATATCTATTGGCCGCCAGTGTTGGATTCCCAATTGGGATATGCCAAGCGCGTGTCCACAACAGGGCGCAAGACGTCACTGACTCCAGTCGGGCTTGCTTTGTTGACCCCGTTTGGGGTGGTTTACAAGTCCAAGTGTGGGAGTTCCAATTCCGTTTGGAGACAAGTGGCAAGGCAGTCCCAGTGGCGAGGGTTTTCCAATGTTGATTTTCTCACTTGCCCGAAGCGTGTCGACGTTCCCAATGTTTGACACCAAAGGGTTATATATAGCCTTTTGTTTTTGGGTCCTTTGGGCAACTGAATTTTCCAAGAGGTGTGTTTCCAGTTTGGTTCCAAGAGATCTTCAAAACATTGAATAGATCCTTTGACTTCACCGATGCGTCCACGGGAAGACCCATATTTCGACGCACAGACAGTGCGTGCTTGAAAATGTTTGTTGGTATTTGCAGAGGAATCATCATTCCTTAGGTGGTGCAGGATTTATTCCATCCACAGTATGTTTATCATGGACCCTTGGGATGGGGAGCCAACACCAAACTTCGCGAAGCCCATTTTGGGAGGGAGTCCGGGGTAGCCCCCCAGGTGTTCAGCGGCACGGAGTGTGTCTCTCACTTAAAAATGGTAACTCCTGCAAGGGTTTGCTCTTCCAGGCGAATGGGTCACTGACCAACTGGGAAAGATCTTTGAACAGAACTCGTGAGAGAACACTCCCCCGGCAGGATCTAAGAAAGCGAAGGCACACGCCGGGTTTCGGGTCGCGAGGTGAATTGGGTGGCGGGGGACGACGACAGAGAGCTGATGCGGCTTCAGAGTGCTGGCGCCGTCATTGCGCTGGCCAGGGGAGGGGGTGGGGTGGGAGGAGGGGCGGCTTGGAAATTCAACCTACTTAGTAGGTACTGGGGTAGAACGAGGTCACCACGATAAAGGTCCTTCACTTGGGGATCCCCTAATTCAGCTTTTGGAATTATAGTAAAATATGCGGGACTCCAGGGGTTGGTTGACTTATGACCGTGGTTACAACCTATTTGCTAAGTAGGTTGAACGTCCAAGGGAGGGGAGCAAGGGAAGGAAGTGCGCATAGCCGTCCCATTTGGAGAAATCTCGGGATCGCCTATGGTTCATGGGGGCACACTCAATTACAACCATAGGGTGGGGGGACGTGACTCACTCACTTCCATATTCACGGATAACATTCGCATCTTGACAGGGATCCAGTACGTGGCCTTCGTTGCAAAAGACACAAGCGGGTCAAATTGGTCAGATTTACAGAGGGTTGCCCTGTTGCGTACATGCGCACTGTCAATTGTCAAATACACCAGTGGATCCCAGTTCCCACAAAAGCAATTAACCAGCCATTTTCCGTTGGGTTTTCGAAGGGTGGTTCCCTTGGTTACCTACATAACCAGGGACATGGAAGTACTGGGAAAGGCTTGCAGATGTGAACATTGACTGCCCGGACGTGCCCTTCAACTTGCAAGATTCTAGGGAGAAAGGAAGGGCGTGAACGTGAACGTTGCGGAGCACGGAGAGGGAAAACGTTGTTCTCGTGGTGTGTAAAGGCCCCTAGCTTGCCCCCCCTTTCATATGAGCCCCACTAGAACATCTTGGAGCCCCTCCGCATGCACGAATTCCAGAGGCCAACGGGGTCTCTTAAGCCCACATCAAGTCGAAGGACGTGGATCTCACCATGTGTTCATCCGGACGTTGCTACTGCGGAGGGACTCAATTCATTTCGCACCGGTTGGCATTGGGGGTGTTTCACATCTTTCCTGCATCCGAGCTTGTGCTGGATGTTGTCCATCCACAGCTATGCAGCAATGTCATATTTTGCAAAAGCTGCCTCATGATATTGAGACGTTCCCTGAGTATGCGACGTATTTTGGCACAGGGCCATGCGCATCACACAGGGATGTCACTGCTCTCTGAGGACGACAGTTTTCGGGCTGATGTTTGGGCATACGCAAGCCAGAGCCTTACACTTGAGCAGCACCCAACACCTCCATTGGAAATTTACGTGCAACGACGGTGCCGATGTAGCCAGGTTGCTCTTAGAGTGGTCAGGGGGACCAGGGGAACCACGCTTTAACAAAAATGGCTAGCTACCTCCTAAAGTGGCTTGCATTCACTGGGCTGCGTTGGAGGCACATCAAATCCGTTAATTTGTTTGGCCCGCAGGACCGCTCGGCCGCAACTTTGTGGATGTGCGGCAATCCCAGGCGCCGTCGGAACACCACGATTTCGAGGGGATCACCTTCCTGGCATCCTGGGAAAACTAACTCCCTGAGCTCCTGGACATACTTCTTGAGAAAGAAAATGGTGGAGAACCGAAAATGTTCGAACTTTGGTCAACCCACTCGATCGGAAGTGAGAAGAAGGAAATGCTCAGCCTGAAACAAAGGCAGGCCCATGACTAAGGTCAGGAGAGGTATTCGGAGCCATGCCCCTTCCCCCAAGGTTCGATGGTAATCCTTCGAGCAAGGGCAAATGGGTGCCCTTGCTAGTCGGGAGACACCACGGCAACCTACTTAGACGTCGTGTGTCGTTTTTCGGGGGAGGTTGGCTTTGGGAAACCAAAAGGAACTTCACCATTTTCAGGGTTCCCCCCATTTTGACGCCAACCCAAAAACAAGTAGGTCAGGCATTTTTCAGGACCAAACCGGTTTTTGTTGGGGGCTGCCAGGGTCGGGTTCTTCGTTGCCTGGGTGTGCATAGGGGCTTGGAGCTTGGGAGTGCGAAACGCTTTCAACTTTCCATTGATCCAAAAACCTCATGCTCACAAGATTTCCCTGCCCCTGACTTTCCTCCGGCTTCTTTCTTTAATGGTTTTGCTGCTTTGAAGTCTGGGCAAAGGACGAATCATCAAAACACCGCTTTTGGCTTCCTTGGAGGCGAAGTATCAAGATCACGGCTTCAGAATGTTTGGGACTTCGAGTTTCTTCGGGGTCTCCACTTGAGCCACTCGGTACCCCCTCCACAGCCAGAGCCCTGCAAGGCGAGCCTTTTTGACCAGCGTCCTCATGTTTTTCTTCCGCTTCTGCGCGTTTCTCTTTGACGGGGGGGGGCTTGTGAGAAACCTTGTTTTGTGGCCAAACCCAGCCCTATCCCGGGGCCCTTTCAAAGGCAAGCAGCGGTAGATTCTGACTTTGATATCCCTAGAAACAACGCCAACGGGCTTAGTAAGGCTAGGCTGGAGGATCTACTTAGGAACCCCACGACCCTGCATCCAAACAGTATCTTCAAAGACAGACGCCCTGGACTCATATTCCCAGCCTCCCGGACATCGGCTCGCAGAAAGGGGGTCGGTTTGGGCTGTCCAGGTCAGTGGAGCAGGTGCGGAATCGGATCCGCAACTCTCTGCAGCGGTGGGCAACTTGGCCTCAGAGTGCAGCTTGTTCAATTTTGGATTCGGGGTTCCCCACTGGGAGGCAGGGAAACATCACCTTCTGTTGAGGGGTTTATTTGCCTTTGAACGGGGTTGCCCATAAGACAGTGGAACCCGGTGGATTTCACTTGTTGTTTCATGTAGGGATTACGAACATGGGGATCTCCTTGTCTTGAGGGTACCCCTTGTGGCGATTTTTAAGAACAAACCAAAAGGAGCGAATCACGTTTCTTTGGGGTCTCCTGAAACAGACGGACCCCATCGGTCTGAGTCTAAGTCTAAACTTGCTACTACTGGTCCACGGCCAAATGTTTGCACCTTTGATTTTTTTGTATTTTTTGGCTGTCTTTGTTTAGCCGCGCAACCCAAATCCCAAATAGCACGTCTTTTGTTGAGGGCCCCCAGAAATGGCCTTGGCTTTCCCTTTGGCTTCCCTTTGAAGCCCACAAGGGGCTCCCCCTCCAAAAGCGCGAAAACGTTACGCCGCGGCCCGGGGACTTGGGCCATTTTGTTGGGCGCCTTGGCTCTCATGGGATGTGGGGGTTGCCCGGAGAAGCACTGCAGAGCAAAGATTGCTAGCTTGTGTTGCTAAAAGAAAAGAGAGGCACCTGCAGTTGCCCAAAGCCAGGGTGGTGGAAACAAGGTGCACTCTTTTTCTCCCACTTGGCTGTGGACCAAAACCTGCGTAACCCTGTTTCATTTTGAGCCACACCCACTGTGATACCCAGACACCTCCCTCTTATGGAGACTCCGTCGTTTGGAAGGCCTCAGCAAGTTCTTGATTGCTGGATCAATGAACTGGTCAGACCTGCTTCATGGTTCTTGTTGGGAAACATTTTACATTTTTGCATATTGTGGTGTAGTGGACAATCCCCACTTAACTGCTAAAACTAAAATTGTTGCTCCCCTTCCAACGTCAACCAAGGTTTCACGAGTTCCAACAAACGGTCCCCATCGCTTGCGTCAGGAAGAGCATTGCATCTGTTTTGCTTTATTTGAGCGTATCCCTGATTTCGCGGGTTTTAAAGAGACGCCACATGGGTTATTTCCCACAACCCTGCCCAAAGTCAACCTTTTTTGCAGTTTTGATAGATCTCCACTTGTTGGTCTGCTTGTTCTTCGCCATACAATTTGCGAGCACATAGATGTGACTCAGGGCGAGATGTGTGTGGTTCTGGACCCTTCTCATCTCCGGTCTTGTCTTGGTGGTTTCCAGCCATGCCCTTGGGTTTTTAGCTGTTTAGCCTTTTTAGTTGGTTTAGTGGGGGTTTCCGCATTTACCCCACTAAAAGAAGTTAAACTTCCATCCCCATGGGTTTTGGCTTTTTTGGTGTTTAGGTTAACCAACTGTTAGCAAAAGAATCTGAGGACAGCCCAGCTACGTGTCTCCCTTTCCGCAAGTGGGTCCGCGCCTTCGGAATTGCGAGGCTGCATAACAGACAAATTGCAGGATCAGTTGGACCCCTTCTGGGTGTGTCTTATTGAACGTACCCAATTGGTGGTTGTTTGAAAGGGACACCAAAAGGAAACCACTCTTTTTGTGGGGGTTTTCCTATTTTGCGACAAACCCGGAAAATGAGCAAGAATTAGTCAACAAAAATGGACCCCATCAACTTGTGGACCTTTCAGAAGTATGGCCCCCCCCAATAGACGGCAATAGTCAAAAGGTCCCAAAAGGGTCCAGACTTGATGCAGAGCCATTGGTCGTCTGAGGACAGAGAGCACGCGGTGATTCATTTGCAGTCCCGGCAGTCTGCATGGGCCATCATCGGCTCAGGCACCGAGCCGGTGCTCATTTTGGTCTGTGACCTGAAAGGGAATCACCAAACCAAGCGGATCCATGCAGACCCCATTTAGGTTTTTGGAAGCCCTGCATAGTGGCCCCCCCCAAAAAAAAAAACCGCTCAAATAGGTTGTAGTCGGATCCGGCAAACATCCTGGCTGCGCTTCAGCGCCGAAATGGTCTTTGACCGTTGATGCGAGCCCGCAAAGGATGACCATCAACACCGAAGGGCATCTTCCAATTGCTTCAGAATATTTGTTGTTTTCCCTTGTTGGTTTTAAAAGGAACTTATCACTACTGGACATATATGTGTTTTTTGTCCACGGGTCTTAACCAAACGGAAGGCATATGTCTTGTTTCGTTTCTGTGGCTTTGTCTTCGCCCAATTTCTCCTTGGCTTTGGGGCAGCCCAGCCCACAACTCACTTAACCACACCCTAAGCAACCCAGAACCCACCGCTAAACCAGGGGCACACCTAGCACAAGTCAGCTGCAGGCCAACCCCAAACCCACCCAAAGTCAACCCTAAACCCGCCCAACAGCAGCGACGTCAGCCCCCTCAGTAAGATCTAAGCCGCTTAAGCCAGCCTAAAACCCCCGCTACTTAAACCAGCCGAGCAACTCCCAACTTCCACCCAATCAGAGCCAATAGACAGCCTATGTGCAAGTGAGGCTGGTGATGCTGTGGATGTGGCAAATTTGCCACAGGGCCCTAAGATGCCGCCACTTGCCCCAATACAACGACACCGACCGGATGCAAATTGATCGACTGCATCTATGAAGAGAGAATGGTCTCTTACTTGAAAAGGGATAATTGCCGTGTTTCAGATTGATTATTACCACTTGTTTAGCACTTCTCAAGTGGAGCACATGCACAGGTGGAGCGTGAAACATCAACCCTAGATTTTCTGGGTCCACCAAAGTGACATCCTCAAAATAACCCTCTGAATGGTGGAATAGAGTTTAGGATGTCTGAATGGTCGTTGTGGGTTCCGAACTTGGTGGGTGTCGAATCCTTGCGGAGCTCGCAGGCGGCTCAACCATCCGGGAGCTCCAGTCGTCGACCCAGGCACGCTTCCGTGACCAGATAGCCAGGTGGCCAGGAATCACCCAATTATATACCTCCAGTTGCTCAGTGGTGCCTGTTGTTCCCCCTTTTTTTGGGAAGGGTGTCCCTTTAAAGTCAACCATTAAAGTCAACCAACCCAAAAAGGATGCCCCTTTTTCTTATGGCCACTGGGCATCTGAGTACAGGTGTACATGTTTTTTTCTACATATATATATATATATATGGTCACCCACCCACCCACCCATGAACTACATTTGGAGCATGCGGTTCATCTCACCCCTCAAACAACATAGTATTTGCAGTGTCTTTACGCATGTGTTGGATGTACAAATGAAACGGAACTACCAGGCCAAGTTTCGGTCTGCAACAAAGTGCTTCTCAGAAGTTAAACATGTTACATTTTAATTGCCAACGTGTAAACTCCTGTTTTTACTGTTTGTGACCACAAACAGCCACCAAATTCCTCTTGCTAAACACATCATAAAATGAAAAGGACATGTTGCATTCAAGATGCAGTGTTTGCTATCCCTTCATTAGTGTCTATTTTTCTGCAGTATCTCTCCTTTTACTCTTGAATTTTGCCCTTGTTAGTGTTTGGCAGGCCCAGGGTGACAAGGTTTCATTTGAGGGGACGGAATGCACTTGGCTGAAATGGCTGCCGCGGCGGCCATTTTGGCTCAAGTGCCAAAATAGCTTTCTTTTCGTGGTAGTTGCCTCTCCTCGTAATGCTCGGACATGTTCGTCGTGCGGGGTGGGCTACTACACCAGTGGACTCAGCGGTCAACCTCCGCCGCTTCGAGCTCTAAGCTACCGGGCTGCAGCGTTCCGATGTTGCTGCCCTTCTTGAGGAGGTATGCATCTTCTTGCACCGCCCGTTCTTCTCTGTCCCCGTCGTGGTTCAGGGCCTGGAGGTGGTCGAGGTGCCCTGTGTCGAGAGCAACTGCAATCGCTGCTTGTCGGGTAGAGGGGGTTTCCGGTTCAACTGGGTCCACCCTGCCTGGACTTGTGCCGGGGCGGTGGAGGCCCTCGGGGGGCGGTCTCTCCCCTGCGCAGAGCAGGAGCGGGAACTTTCGGAGCTCGTGCCGCTGGTGGACACCACGGTTCACATGGACTCCTTCTACGAGGACTTCATGCGTTTGCTCATGGACCGGCCCGATGACATGGTGCCTGTCCCGCTTTTCATGCATGCCTGGGCCTGCAGGACTTGGACGATTTCCGGTTTCTTTTCCACTCCGAGACCCAAACTGATGACTGGATTGGGCGCATTTCCGAATTGGAGAATGTCCCTTTGCAAGGGGCCCTTTTTAGGAGGGCCTGGCACGCGGTAAGGCTCCAAGCGGATACCCGAGAAAGAGGTCAAAGCAAGGCCTCTCTGCAGGACCTTGACTCCCCTCTCGAGGACGCAGACCTCAAGACGCTCTTCTGGAGACGATATCGGGTTTCCTACCCTCCTGAGATCCATCCGGCTGATGTTCTCATCAGCCGAGTGGCCCGTGAATGCGGCAAGCGCATGCTCATGGTCACCAATCTATGGCTTGTGAAAACCCTCATGTACCAGGTCACCACGAGCAGGAAGCGCCAGAAGGTCGGGGAGAACCTGTACACGGATGTCCAGGAAGAGATCGTCCCCTCAACCAAGGACGTGCAGGGCTACTTGGCGCCGATGTTCACGTATTTGCTCGCACTGCCGGGAGGGCATCCCGGATCCGGCCGCAGAGGGGACTCTGGGGGCCGATAGTACCAAATATGTGGATATTCCGTTGGACACGGTGACGCAGTATTATTTCAGGGCAGTCCGCACCGTTGGGCAGCGGGCGGGCCATGCCCCTTTGGGCTGGTTGGCGCACCAGGACGCGCAAGGGCTCAATGGGTCCAGCTCTACAGGCAGTCGCAGCGTCCCTTGGGTGAGATTATCCGAGAGGTCATGCAGCAGCGGGATGCCCACTGGGCCGCAGAGAGCGAGACCAAGCAGGTGCCTTCTCAGGAAAGCGTAAACGGCAAGCCGGTCAAGTACGTCAATCAGGCAGGGGAACGACTCTGCAAGGACTTCCAGGCAGGTAAGTGTACCTCCACAAATTGCAAAAAGGGTGTTCATCGTTGTGCAGTTCTGTTGCGGAATGGCAAGGTCTGCTACATGAATCACCCCGCAATCCATTGTGTGGTTAAGAAGACCATGGCTTGACGGGGCCCCGCCGGCGCCAGTGAGGCAGGGGCGCTGGTTAAAAAACATGATTCCCCGCCTCAGCAGGCTCCCCCTCAGGCCTTGGATCTTTTCTCAGGTCCAAACCAGCCAGTGGCGGCAGCCCTCAGGTGGTGTGGCTGGGACTGCATCGCTGTCGATTGGTGTTTGGACCCGTCGCATGATGTCTCGAGTGAGCAATGCCAGGGATGGCTTGCCAGTTTGTCATGGTTGCCTTCGACTGTAGTACCAAAAGCCGGGCCCGAGAAATCCCACGAGTTTTCCCTGATGGGTCGCATGCGCCTGCTCCACTTAGGTCCGATGAGTTCCCCTTAGGCCTTCCCACCCTTTCTGGCAGGGATGCCGAGCGGGTGGGCAAGGACAACCACTGGCCTGTGTCTTTGTGCTCCAGCAGCTGCAGGCGCACGCCCTACAGGGTGGAGTGTCGGTGAGGGAGAACCCCCGGAACAGCTTGCACTGGTCCCTGCCAGCCGAGGTAGCCATGCATGAGTCTGGCGCATGGTACGACTATGACTATGACTCGTGCGTTTTCCAGGGCCCCAGGCGGAAGAAGCAGCGGCTCAGACATAACCTTGCCGAGATCGCTCATAGTTCTGGAGTGCTGCGCGCAGGGACGGCCAGCAAGCTTTTCGGTTGCACCACTTTCTTCCAGGAGGGCGTTTTTGGCAAGGTGGGCTGGGCAGGCTTAAACCTTTTCAAGGAACGGCAGTATGACAAGCTGGTCCATCTGGATGGACCACTTGTTAATAGCTGTTTGCTCCTGGAGGCCTTGATGGCGGAACAGCCTCGTCGTGAGTGGTACCTTTGCCAGACCAGGGTCAAACGGTTTTTGACGCCGCCTTGGAGTCACCACGGGCCGGCACTGCGGGCTTCCTCCTTGTCCTTGACCCAGGGCTTCTCACGGAAACCCGTGTGGGCCATGTGGTTGACATCCCATCAGGGCTGTATGATCAATGGCGCCCGGATGGGTGGCACATTGCCCAGCTGGAGATGCTGATGGTACTGGCAGCGCTCACAGTCTTTCATGGCCAGCTGCGGGGACGCACCGGCTTGTGGATGATAGACAACGTGGCTGCCCTGATGGCGCTCATCAGGGGCAAGTCCGGCACAGTGGATCTGGACCATTTGGGGATGCTTACGCACGCAGCTCTTTTTGGTTTGCAGGTCCAGACCTACTTTGATTGGGTCCAGTCTCATAGTAACTGGAGTGATGGTATCTCACGTAGAGGTTTTGACGACACATGGGCCCGGAGGCATCAATTTCAGCTTACCCGCAGTGTTTTCCCTATTTTCCTATGGCATCTCCCACTGCGTGGATGTATTCGGGTCTTTGAATTTCTCTAAGTGCATTGGGCACTGCGGTTTGAAGCGAAAAGGACCGGCTCGTTGAGTTAAGTGCTTTGGGTGGTTAAGTTGGGAGCCTGTTGGAAATCGCTGCAATTCTGGCTGTGGAGCAGAATTGTCAGTGGTTAACCAAGCCCATTAACACTCAGAGACACAGACCAGCGAAGTGTGAAAACATCTGAGCTGCTTGGGTGGTTCCTCCCCCAAATGTTGCCCTTGTTAGTGTTTGGCAGGCCCAGGGTGACAAGGTTTCATTTGAGGGGACGGAATGCACTTGGCTGAAATGGCTGCCGCGGCGATAGCTTTCTTTTCCCACCCTCCCAACCCCTGGGCGAGTCGCAAAAACGCTCTCTCGTTACGGGGGTGCGGCAGACGGCTAAGTTCCTTGTGGGCCGTGGCCAACTTGGAGTTGGGTCGTGACTGCCGCTGCCAACAGCCTCCATCTTCTTCTTCACTGCGACCCCTTGACGTGGTCTGGGGCTGTGCCCAGCCAGTTTTGGGGCCGGGTGGTTAAGTTGGGAGCCTGTTGGAAATCGCTGCAATTCTGGCTGTGGAGCAGAATTGTCAGTGGTTAACCAATGCCATTAACACTCAGAGACACAGACCAGCGAAGTGTGAAAACATCTGAGCTGCTTGGGTGGTTCCTCCCCCAAATGATTTAAAAAAAAAAGCCGCAGCTCTTTCAGGATTTATTTTGCTGCATCTCCCCTTACTCGTCAAAAAGCAACACTCAAGGAACACCAAAAACCAAACAAACCCAAAAACACCTCGAGCAAACAAACAAAACAATAACAACACAAGAGAATGGTTGGTCCAGCCTCATATTTTTTGGTTGTTTGGTGTTGGTTTTCCGCGAGTTTTTTTGGTTTTTTGAGCTGCTGGCGTCAAACAAACAAAAAAGCGCAAGGCTTCTTGAGTTTCCTCATGCCCCTCACATCCCCTCACGCATCAAGCACCCAAAATACACCCTGTGCTGTTTGGTTGTTTGACTCCCAAAGCTAAAACACCAAAACATCGAGGGAAACCTCAACAACAAAAAAACCTGCGGAAAACCACCAAAACGAAAATCTGAGGCCAGAGCAGCCATTCTGGTGTTTTTGTTTTCTCGAGTTGTTTTGAGTTTGTTTGGTTTTCCCGTTTTGTATGTTTGTTTGTTTTCTTTTTGTTTGCGTACCATCTTTTTGCATATGTTTGTTTCAAGGTCTTCTCCTTCTCGATTTATCATGGTATGTCTAACTACCCCCTAGCTGACTACCCCCCCCCCTCCTGGAATCAGGGATAGCAACTTATTTAGGCCTTATTAGGGTCTTGACAAGCCCTTATTTTTAAGTCAGCGGAATTCGGCAAAACATATGGACTACTGCTTCAACTTTTTGCGTCACCACTATTTTGGTCGTATTTTGGGCTGAGGCGTGTGAATGTCATGGGATGATGAGGTCCGGACTCGTGCTGGGTGCCAAACAAGGCATAGTTTCAGAAAACACACAAACTCAGTCATGCACCACCCGCTACAGCTGACGCGCAATATGTCACTTCAATCTAATCAATTTCTCACAAACAAAAAACAACATGAGGAAATTGTCTAGCGGAACCTTCTTCAAAATCGTGTTGCAACCAGATTGTTGGTTGTCCTTCTGTTGGCCTTGTCTGAGAAATCTTCAAATACCGTTGGGGGTTGCCCTTGTTTTGGCCTTATTCTGCCCCTATTCTGCCCCTTATTCTGCCCCTATTTTGGCCTTATTTCGGCTGTATTTTGGCCTTGTTTCAGAAATCTTCAAATGCCATTGGGGGTTGCCGTTGGGGGTTGCCCCTATCTCGGCCTTATTTTTGCATTATTTCAAATCTGGGGGTTGCCCTTTTTTTGGCCTTATGTTGGCTTGATTGCAAATCTTCAATTCAGGTGGCCTTATGGTTTGCTTTCTGTTTGACTTTAGGTAGGGTTTGGCCCCTACTTGACACAGTTTGTACTTCTTGTGGGGGAAAGGGAGCGTCAATCAATAGTGAGTAGTGCTATACAAAAAATACTCTCACCACATGCCAACGCAATCCCAAGTATTTGCATTCTGCTACCATGTAGGGTCTCAGGGAGTGGCGTTGGGCCGCTTGAACCATGGAAAGGGTCTAGTTGGCAAGGTCCGAGTTGGATCTTATTTTAGCCCCAGTCATATTGCCCTGGGGGGGGGGGGTAGTTGGCCAGGGGGTACTTAGACAGACCATGAATTTACATTGGTTTGTCTTCAATTCCGGAACCCACACACCGGGTGGTTTCCCTCTTCACTTACAGACAACCCCGAAGGTCCTTCAACACAACACGCACACACACCAACACACGCAGGAAACCACGGTGTTTGGCACTGGTCACAGCTTGGTTTCATCCACACGTGCCATCAATTTTCTTAAAGGACGCCTGGGATGCTGATGACTGCAGTATGTTGTCCCTGCAAAGTACCGACACGCTTCCGCCTGAGATAAAGTACACCCACATTTGACCCTATTCCCTAAACATGGAGTGCCTGGGCAACCCTGGTTTTGCTCCACAAGCCACCGGCTCAAATCCCGGCGAGGCTCGGATCGATGTGGACGCGGACAACCAACGCGTCACCATCTCTGGCAGGGAGGAACGCTCACGCAGAACAGCCGGAAGCTCCAATTGGCCTCCGGAGTCTTCCAAACAAGTAACCTGGGAGCTTCCATGCTAGCCTGGAGGGTTGATTCCGGGCACGTTTCATTGGTTTGTCTCTGGCAAACGACTCGACCGGATCTAGCCTTTTGGCTGCTCTGATTTGTTCCATTAGTCACGATTCCCAAAGGTCTGCCTTTAAAATGTGCGTAATGACCCCGAACTGAACCATCCACTTGTGGTTTCAGGGATGCCGCAGAGGTTCATTCCCCAAGAACCCGTTGATTTCCTGCTGAGAACCTAGAAAGTAGCAGGGTATCCCAAAAATGGGTGGCTTTTTGTTGGGTTCTCTCATGAAGAGCCCCATTGTGTGGGCAACACAATGCACACACCCTGATGCGAGCCAGAGTTCAAAGCTTTATGGCCAGTCCCAGCCATTACTCGGTCCGATACGTTTAGTAGTCAGAAGTTTCGATTGCCACTCATATGGGTGTGTGTCTTCAGATACGGTGGATGTTTTAAATGGTGCAAGTGGACCGACCACATCCAACAACCAACCACAACACCACGGCAAGGGATCCTTTCCAGCACCCCCCCCGACCCCTTTATTAAGGGAGGCTTCGGGGCAGTACTTGGGATGTTGGAGAAAACAGTTGCTCCGGGTGCTGGTTCATGCGCCCTTTGTGGTTTCAGCTTGGCGGAACATAGACGGTTTCCACTGGTTTCAGTTCGTTTGGTTCCCTTTTTACTTGCCAGACATCTATGTGGGTTCAAAAGGGCAGCTATCATCAGTCAGCACTTAGAAAGAACAATGGTTCAAACCCACAAGCCATTTCTATGAATCCTGCTAGTAGGATAGGATCGCCTCGGGTAAATAGATCCTTCATTTTGAGGGTTGCTAGACCAAGAAAACACACCATACATCAACAATGTGTGCCTGTCTCGCGGCTCATTTGTGGCAATTCCAACGAGGTGCGGGGGTGGTATCCTCCAAGACGATGTTGGAGTTTAGGGTAGACTAGATATGAAAGAACATCCGAACATATGATTTTAGGGTCTTCTGCAAAGTGAACTTTAATGCTTTTCGGGACAATTTGAGTGGCAAAGACATCGTTTGGTCACTTCTTTTGTTGCACGAATCCATTCGAGTGAGAACGTGCTGGTCAGTAGGGAATCAAATAGGGTCTTTGGAAAGAATCGTTTTGCGGGCCACCATGCTGGTTCAGTGTGGGGTTCCAACTTCCCAGAATATCTTCCTTCCATTTGCTTAATAATAACAATATTGTTTATCCCCCTGTTGGTTTCAAAGGGAATTTATTACTGCTGGACATATACTTCTTTTTAGGAACTGGAAGCTTCCCTTTTTCGGCGAGGAGAGCGTGCGAGAAGCCAAAGGGCGGATTATGGAGATCATCGGCTCCAGAGGCGCCTTTTTCGAAGGGTCAAATGAGCGACATCTCATGATGAAGGTTTTGAGGTTGATCAAAAGGTCCGTGATACATGGGATGACCGTTGGTTGGAAAACCACGAATCACGATGTGATATTTCGGCCAGGGAAAAGTGAGCCGCAGTCAAAACTTGGGGCACCCCCATCTGACTGGCTTTGGACGGTCAGATCCTTGCGCATTGAATGCCAAGTCCGGGCCCAGTCTGTGGTCGCCTGATGGACTGAAAGGGCGGCAAGCCAGAAGCCTTCCTGGGATTTGCAGCAGCGCTTTTTGCCCGGGAGCGCGAAGCCTATTGTTGGTTTTTTAAAAATGGGGCTGCGCCATTTTTGCTGGGATGCGTCATTGCGGGAAACACTTCTGTCCTATGAATACAGCGGGTTTTTTTCAGGGGCATTATATGCAGACCCTTGCAACCATCTGGGCAAATGGGCACGTAGCATGAGCTCACTCATGAAGGTGTTCCTGTTCCATTGTTTGGTTTGAGCGTCGTCCGAAAGGTACTTGGATTCAGATATGAAGGGAAAGACCCTGCGGTCTTAGTGTTGCCCTCCGCGAAAGCTTCTTGATTGGAGGTTGCGATAGTTGTTGGTTGTTTCGAAAGTTTTGTGTAAGGGTGGTTTGCTGAAAGGAAGATGGAATAATGAACCATTTGCATTTGCCGGCAGTGCGCGCAGAATGTCCACAGACTAAAGTTGGTCCGAGGAAAGCACGAGCTGAGGATTGCCGCAAGAATTCGCACAGCAACAATCCCCAGCAGAAAGCATCTTGTTGGAGTTTCGAAGCTTTCGAGTCCAGTTGAGCCACAATCAAAACCCGGATAGATGAAGGTTAGTAAGGGGCAGTCCCAACCAGAAATAGTTGCGGCCGCCTTCTTAATTCTTTACATGGTTCTGGGTAGACCATTTCAACACCGGGTTTTGATTGTAACTCAGTTGAGCCCAGCTTCGCCGGATTTTCGGCGCCGTTTGGCCCCGCGGCTTTCGGGCCGGGGGTGTAGAAGCGCACTTCGTGTACTTTGGAACTGGAACGGTTGTGACTTGCGAGGGGCTGCAGTGAAGGTTCGCCCTAGCTCATCTCCAAACTTGAGACTTGTGCAACGCAAAGGAACATGGCAAACTGGCAACGAGTCCTGCAGCAGGCGTAGGCAACAACCCATTCATATACTATGTCTTCTTGTAAATTAGACAGTTAAAGGGGTAGGAAACTCCTTCTTTTTCCAAGGAAAGCACTGGCTCTCCATGGCTTATGGAGGGTTGCAGGGATACCAACCAACCGGCCACCAAGGGCCCCACAAGGGAACAGAGTTCAAGTAGGCCTTGGATTGGCCAACAAAATGTTTATTGTTGCATAATACGTCGCACTTCATGCCATGCGAACTTCCCATGAAGATCATCTCCTCTTCGCGTGTGTCAGGTGGGGGCTGGGGCGGCGGCGGTGGTGGTGGCTGGGGAGGAGGCAGGGGGTCAGGGGAGCTCATGTGCTAGAATAAAATTATCGTCAACGATTGTCTGAAAAAACACCCACCCGTCCCCCTCCAAAAGAAAGAAAGAAAGAAACAAAATAAACAAAGAAAAGAAAGAAAGAAAGGAAAGAAAGAAAGAAAGAAAGAAAGAAAGAGAAACATGGTCGGTTTCTCCTGGGCTCCTCAAAAAGACACCCACTTGGGGTTGGTAGGGATGGCCATGGACCCTCAACCAAAGAATTGAGGGTTCCCAGGCAAGAATGGGCATGACCCACAGATTCCCAGCTTTGACCAGGGTAAGCTGCATTTGGACCAAGGCAAGCCTCCAATATATCTAGCTTCATGGACCAACTTTGCACCGCCGCGCTACAACTGGCCGCCCAGGCTTCGGGGGCAATGCTTCGGGGCAAAACGATTATGACTCTCCCGTGATGACTCAGCTTGGCTTTGAAGCATCCCACAATGCCATTGCGTTTATTTGGGCCCCTGTACGTTGTCGGTTTGAGCGCCCGAGATCTGGAACCTGGGGACCACCCCCGCACCCAATTTGCTCTGGCCTGTAAAAGGAAGGTTTTTTCTTGGATGACCTAGCTCGACCTATTTTTGGTCGAACGGGCATGTCTCCAAAGCGAACCCCAAAGTGGGGGCCGGCTTTCCTTTGGTTTCCTTCAACAGGCCAAGATACTGGGCAAGCCAGAGTAGGTAATCCTTCGCCATTTTTCTTCTGATGTAAGAGTGGTTTCCGTTTTGTACCCACTCTTCGGCACATCATCCCCAGGCTAGGTTCTGCAGCCTCCCACTCACCACCCCGACAGCCCACCGCAGCCTGAGGCAAGGGCGGCGATGACTGGGGCCGCGGACGAGGCCGCCTAGTGAAATGTGGTTTCTCAAAAACCGCCCCCCACCCCCCCAGAATCTTGGGCGCCCAGTGGAGTGCAACCATCCGTTTTTTTGTTTTGTTTTTTGTTTTTGTTGGGGGGGCGGGGGTATACTTGTTGAAATACACATTTTGTTCATGTTGCTCAGTTGGTTTCAAAGGGAATCTATCACAACTGGAAACATGTTAATCTTAGGGACCTTTAGCCACAAGGACGTTTAAGCCACGGTCTTTGAACTCGTGTGTCCGGGTACCTACACGATCTCCTTGAGCGTGAAGAGTGACCCAGACACCCCGTCGAACCCTGCGTTTCCCTTCTTTTTGGCTGTTTTTTTTTTTGTAGCATTCACCCGGTCGCGCCTTCTTTTTCTCCTCTTTTCGAACGTTTGTTCTTTTTGACACACACACCGCCTCCCCCCCAAAAAGAGCGTCGCCAAGCGGCGGCCGCTTTCGGCTTCGCCTGCGCCAGGCCGCGGCGGCGGAGGCGGGAAGGTGACCGCGAAACCTCGGGGAGAGGCATCCCAGGAATTTCAGTCAGCTCGGTGGATAAACCGAAAACTTGCCGGGGATTTGATCTGGTTCAACAAAGCGGTAAGCAACCCTGGCTGCAAGCAACCCATTCAGAAGACTTGCAGATGGAAATGGGGGTCTGGGGCTACTTGCTGGCGCTAGAGGCAGGGAATGAGTTGCATGGAATGACTTTTATCAACCATCCAACTTGTGGTTTCTTTTCAGGGGACCAATTCCTGGTTTCATTCCAACTTTCCCTGAGCACCAGCAAGGAAATTCAGACGCCATGTTGCTAGAAAGGATCTAAGATTCAGATTTTAGGAAAGATGTTGGGTGTGCCGAAGTCGCTTGTTTGAGAAATGTACTGAGAAGCTCACCTGGGGGCATGAAGACCTAGTCATACACGTTGCAGGATACTTGCGCACACATCAGGCTTTGCTCCTAGCCAGATGCGTTGACCCGCTTTTCGACTATGGATTCGCTAAATGGTTCTCCTACCTTTCTCATTGCTTAAGGTGGCAGGGTACTTGGGTGGCTAGAAGCCTTGGGCAAGTAATCCATTTACACCGGTTGCAAGTTCCCTCAGCGGAACGAAACCAGGCTTGCCAACCACGAAGTGCGCGGCGCTTGCCTCCGACTCTGATTCTTTGGCGCCTTTGTTTTACGTTGATGGGCTCCCGAGCATTTATCATCAGAGTACCTGTTCGGACAGTAGCTCTGTTATCAGAGTGCATGTTCCTAGTTGAGGTATCTGAATTTGCCCAACCTGCCCATTTCTGTTGACCCCGGATTGATAAACCCGTCCCAGTAATAGGGGGCCCCCACTAAAAGCGGACACCCCCTCTTATTCAACCAGGGGTTCCGCTTTTGCCGATCACAATATGTCTGTTTAGCTTTCCCCTCACGATGTCATCTACCAAATGGATTTCGTGCAACTTGCTCCGTGGTTTTCAAACTGGCTCAAGGAAGAAACGGCATCAACCGAGCACCTGCCTCACGTCCGGCGCGTCGCAGCAATGGCCGCCTTCGACCCAGCTCCCTATTGCATCCCCGGGGAGATCACTGTCCATGAGGCGCGCCCGGCTCGGAAGGCCTCAGGGAACTCGGGGGCTGAGTCGTTCTCACAATGGACCTTCTCTTGGTTGGCATTTAGAGAGAGTTAAAGGGACGCCACAAGGAAGCCGTTGCCATTCTGGAGACCGATTTCTATCTTGAGATTGAGAGCCTCCCTCATGGCATTTTTTAGTTGGTGAGCCTTGCTCGTTCTCGGGGTTTATGATAGGAATCCAACGGGTTTGTGTCACAGAGAAGTGCACTCGTTTCCGCCACCGTGGGGCTGTTGTACTGGACGAATTGAATTGGAACCTGTCGGGGAGTTGCGACAGAACCCACGCAGCTTTGCATAGGTTCGCTTTATACCCCTTCCATTTTTTATACTTTGATTGGGTAAGGGTTCGCCTTTAAACTCAACCAACAAAAAAAGGTGCCCGTTTTTCCCAAGGCTACTGGGCATCTGAGATACGGATCCCTGATGTTCGATGGCTGAGCCGCCCTCCTTCATGGAAGTGAGGCTTTAGAAACGTTGAAGGTTGGTTCCCTGCCCCGTGGTTCGGGGGATCCTTTACCTGGGCTACTGGTCGGACCACACGATTCTTAGGTTTCTCTCATTTTGCCACGCATTTCCTTTAATGAGGCAAGGGGCACATTCTCAGGGTCCCGCACGGGCATGGGCTGGGCTGTTCAGGCTGAGAATCTGTTCCAATTTGTGTGTGGAGAGAAAAGTCGGAGGGCTGGGGCCAACGTTGTTTAAGCCAAACCTGGTGGCTACACATGGGTCTGTCATTTTTTTGGTGGGCACCCTTTTTGGGGTTCGTTTAACGGGAAACCAAAGGGAAACCCACCATTTGGGACGGGTCCCCTTAAACAGAATGAAAATCAAGTGAGAGTGGTCACACAACGGTCGTGTAACGCCACGGGTGGTTTACTTGCTGGGGCTCAGCAGGGAATGAGGGAATGACCCCTTCCAAGCATCCAACTGGTTTCCTTTAAGGGAATCCCCAGGCTCGTTCCCTTATTTCCTCCTGAGCAGCAAGTTTACGCCAGGTGAACTCATTGCTTTTTTAAGCCCCGGGTTTGAACCAGGCGTTGATAAGAACCGAGATGAACTCCTTCGGAAGTTGAAGTTATGCTCACTCCCTGAGTTCATGGACTTCTTTTTTGTTTTGGAAAGACCATGTTGGCGGTAAATAGTTCAGACATTTTTTGGCCAGCCCACTCGGGAAGTGAGTATGGGATTTTGGCTGATGCACATGCCGAGTCGGGTTTCGGAGGCTTTCTCCCGTGCCTGGACTTTTCGAGTTGTTGGGATCGGTTAAGTTTCAAGCAGAAAGTTTGGACTTCTTTGGGACAATGCAGTTAAAAGAGGTTTGTTTTTTTGAAGTCTCCACTATCAGCTTTTAGTTAGAGTGTAGGCTTACTATGAAACAGACTCACAGCTTTGATGTTTTTGGCATCCCACAGTTGGGCTAAGCTTCGACAGGTCCTCGACATGAAGAGGGCCTTTGACATGATCGACGAGGACGTGTTTCGGGTCCCGGTGCAGGTGATACGTGCAATGAATCGGGAAGCCTTGCGAATGACAGAAATCTGCCCCTATCTCTGTTGGCTGATTGGTTCGACTGTGTCTGGGGGTTACCAAAGTCAGATACTGGGGTTCCCTTTAACCTAGCACTTGAGGGATGATTATAGTGGTGAAACAATGGGGCCAGTCTCAACCAGTCGCCACTTCTTTGTTTGCCCGTACATGCTCCTTATTACATAGCCAGTACATGCTTCAATACGGTTGCCCTACAGGTTTTCTGAGTCCCATATGCATCAGCAGAGACTTGCAGCAAGCCGTCGGGTCTCCCACTAATAACTCCCTCCCCGGGGTCTCCCCCGCCCAAAAGAACAAGCATATGTGTGTTCCAAGGTCCACTTTGGTATCACCAAGGAGAATCCACCCGTTACCCACATTGACATATCTTCAGGAGCATTTTTTTTGCATGCCCAGCGTAAGGTAGATGCTTGCTTGGTCTGTATCTGTCAATCTGTCAATCTGCACATCCCCGAACATCTCCCCATCCCCACCTTCAAGACGAATTCCTTTACCCCTCACTTCCCGACTTGGACTTCAACGTTATTGGGAAGACCATTTAGTGGTAAACAAAATTGGGGGCTTTTTTGGCCACTCAGGAAGTAAGTCCCCGTTTGTTAGTTGTTCGGTATAGAGTCGGTACCAGGGCTGTGGGAACGAGGAGTTTACCCACTTCCGCTCAAGCCAACAAGTAGTCATGGTTATCATCACCCGCGTCCTTTCCCGACTTTGTTCAGTGGCTTTCCTTGGATGATACTCCGTGCTGACTTTCACCGAATCGCCCTGTCTGCCCCCGGCCCTTTCCCTTTTCACGCCGTGGCAACAGGTTTTGTTGAGGAGCCACCGGCTTCACAACGGGATCCTCGAAGTCAGCGGGTCTTGGGCGATCTTTTACCAGCTGGCCCCAGCTGGTACCTTCTTTTTTTTAAAGGGGCCGTGCTTCACCGAGCCGAATTTCCGCGGTTCATATTGAAGGACGGAGGCGTCCAAGGCGGAATTGTAAGGCTCAGTTCGGGGTCAGGTGATTCAGTGAGCGAGGAAAAGCACCACCAGCCCCGTAGGGTGCCTCCAAAAGGAACCAGTCCTGAACATGGTAGATAGCCCTTCGATCTGCCCTTTTCCGGCTGGGTTTTGTATCTTCGACATTCTTATAGGCTCTTGAAATAGAGGACACGAATAGGGGACCCACCCCTTGGCTTAGGGTCTTAAAGTAGGGGAATGCCTTATCGAAGGCCCAGGGACGCCGGCAAAATGGCTTTCAACGTGGGTTATTCTCCTGGGAGATGGCCCGCTTTGAACAGTACTTTGAGGGTCCAGGTAGTTTCCCCTGAGCCCTCAAACAAAAACTACATGGAAATAACAAACAAACACAGAACAACTATCACAAACAAACTACAGAAAACGAGAAACAACTACAACCCCTTTAAAATGGGTTCTAGCTTTCCCTTTGGAGTGCCCTTAGGACCACTCCCACCCTCGCTTTCAGGACAACAGCGGGGTCATCGACGCGGAGGAGCTGCAGGGCGCCGCGGTGGCGCTGGGCATCCCCATGGAGGCGCGACCATCGACCATCGACGCGCCGCGACTCCGCGCGCGACTCGACGCGACGCGACGCGTCGAACCCAAAACCAAAGAACGTCTCCGTAGCTTGGTGCATTCGTCGATGCGATGCTTGGTTCCAGGGTCTAAGCATTTTATTTTTTTAAGTGTTGTTTTTTTTGTTTAAGGGCTTGTGGTTTTTCAATAGTCTATGAAACAGGAGACTTTAGGGTCTAAGCAGTCTCCAGAAGGATTTGTGTTGTTTTCTGTGGGTCGTGGATCGATGACGCAGGATCTGAAAAGATTGTTTTCTACCGCAGGTGCTCCCCAAGTTGGTGTCTTAGCTTCCTCTCGTCGAAATCTCGTGCCCAGATGTCACGGCTCACTGAGCGTGCTCCTTGAGATCTTCCTTGCCGTTGCACCAATACGGCCAACTTCATTTGCCAGAAGAGGTTGGAGACCATACTGGGAACCCCGGATGAGGCAGTGAAGACCATGCTGGGAACCCCGGATTAGGCAGAACCCCTGGTGGATGGGGGGGGAGGTTTAAACCCACAAGTGGAGGCCCCCCCCCATCCCCAATGAATAGGACAGCCAAGGGTCCCGTTGCTTGCCGTCGAGTTGGTCCGTGAGGAAGTGGTCCCACCCTTTCAACCGCCCACGGGAGTACAAGCCTCTGAAGTCCTCCCCTGCAACTCTCCAAAGAAGCCAAACAACTACGCTCGTCCACCCCACCCTTTCTTGCCCTCCCCCATTTCGGAAAGATTTGTCATGTGAAGGAACCAGCAGACCACAGGACGGAGCTGCCTCCCTCCTCACCTGTATGGAGTTGCACATCCACAATTGTGGTGGCCGTGCTGTCTCTCCTTTCCCCACTGATGTTCTGTTTGAGTATATGCAAACATGTTGCCAAGATATCAAAAGATGTTTTCATGTGGATTACGGAGATAATCAAGATTGTCACCCGAAGTCAAGCTACCAGCAAAGGCCCGTTTTTTTTTTTTTTCTCCCAGGGCTTTGACATCACCCCAAGGCTCCCACAGAAACCAACCGGAGTCTATTCGCGTACCCCGCTTGGTCCGAGATCGCTTCTCTGATTTCCCACTGGCCAGAGGCTCCTGGAACTTTTGATGGAAGACCCGACCCCTCCATTAGACACCCCGGGAATTGGTGGTTGGGTGCCTCAAAAACCCGGCTGCTTGAGGGGCCCGAAATCGATCGGGAGCGTCTGGGTGGCCAGGAGAACATTTCGGTGCTGCTGGGAACGGACAAGATCAACTTCGATGAGTTCTTCAAGACCGGCGGGTTGATCGTATCCAACCCCATAGCTGTCCTTTTTGGTTGTTTTCTGGAAAAATAGATGGCACTGGTTTACCTGGTGGTTTAATCATCTACCAGGGCCATCTATTTCCCCGAAAAGGACACCTATGCCCAACCCCCTCCCCACCCACCCACCCCACCCTCCCACAACCTCCCGCAACCCCGGGAACCGCCGGGAGGGGGGTGTCTCCTCAGAGAAGATGTTTTATGTTGCGAGCTGTGCATGAGAACATCGGATGTTTGGTTTACCGGTCAAGAGAACCCCCGAAGCCCTGCCAGAGCCATCTAGCCCACTTCGGCACCTCATCCACCGGTTCTATGATCCCACAGTTTGACAGGCGTGGTTGGTTCACTTCCAACCCATGTTTCCTTTTGGAGGGTGCCTTGTGTTTCTGGACTTTAGAGACTTTTCTGGGGTATGCTCGAATGATGTTTTATAGATTTCAGGGTAGAGTAAATATGGAAGAGAACCATAACTTATCTTTTTTGGGTGTACCGTGTACCCCAGCGCAGTTTTGGGAAGGCCATTTTAAACTGCAAGCAGTCTGCGCTTATGTTTTTTGCTACCAATCCACTCAGGCTTTCGGCGTACTTGTTCCACTGAAAGCAACTTGTTCAGCTTCTCGGTCAAATTTCGCACTATTTTACATGTTTACCCCTGACTATATCTATCGTTCAGGCAACCGCTCATTGGTGGTTTGGATTGGTGGTTTGGATTTGGATTTGACCCGCTGGTCCTTGAGGTTTAAATGGGACACCACCCTCAACCACCGAACACAACTTCGCCAATTGGAGGGAAGCTGAATGATGGACGGGTTCATGTCCTAGGTAAAGGGTTGAGCCTTGACCGATCCCTTTTTTTCTCGTAGGAGGATGACTGCGAAGCTCAGTCCCTCGGACAAGGTGGATGACATCATGGGCATCTTCGAGCTCTTCGACAACGACGCGACAGGCTGGATGGGTTTTGGTTTTGGGTTCTGGTTTTGCGTTTTCCCCTAAAAGTTCCGGAGCCAGGGTATTGTAAGGGAATGAAAAGGAACCCCGCAGTTGCTGTTCTTTTTGAGGGGGGATATTCCTATTTTGGAGGAATGCTAGAATCATTGATTTTCCCATTCCAGGATGTTTGCCGCCCACCCCCCCCTTGTGCACAGGCATGGTCTTCTTAGATATGCTTGTTTTACAATGGTATATCCAGGCTTTGACCAGTTTTGGGTTTCGCCCCAGCGGGCTTCGCTGGAATGTGAGTTCCCTACTTGAGCCGGATTGGCCAAGTATACACCAGCCGACCCCACAGGCCGCTTTTTTCTTTGGGTGGGATCCCCCTAATAATCCGCTTTGTGCCCGACGGGGAGTTGCGCTTGTCTCAAAATCCCCCCCAAGAAAAATAAGGAGGTTCCTTTTGACCAAACCAAAACACACAAGGCGTACACGCACAAGTTCAACTTTGGCGAGGGAGCTCAATTTTATAGTACGGCAAGTGCCCTGTACTACATGAACCTTTCGGCCCTCTACTTAGATGGTCTGGGGCTTAGCTGAACGGTAAAGCTAAGCACTTAGCTAGCTACTTAGCTAACTAAGTGGCCCGGATATCCCCACTTACACCTATCAATTCCCTAAGTAACTTACCCCTTGTTTGTAGGTGTTTTTGAGGAAAACCAACAGGACAGCCTGTCATTTTGGGGGGAGCCCCTAAGGCAGCCTGCCATCAGTTCCCTAAGTTACTACCCCTTAGGTTTCTCGTTGACCAAACCCTAACTTACCCCTTAGGTTTCTCGACCAATTAGTACCCCTAGAAAAACATTCCGGCCATGTGAGCCACAATCAAAACCTGGGTGGATGAAGGTTAGCAAGGGATGATCCCAGCCATAAATAGCTGCGGATATCCGCCTTCTTAATTCTTGAAGCATGGTTCTGGGATTACGACCATTTTTGTACCGGTCGGTTTTGAGAAAGCGACTCATGTGGGTTCCCAGTGTCGTTCCATTTGCCCGAAACTCTTCCAGCTCCAAAAGGGTCGTAGTAACTCAGCGGCCTCTCCTCGGACCGAGAAAGCCGTGGGCGAGGCACCATCTCTTTCGAGAACATGCAGAACGTGGCGCGCATCATCGGCGCCAAGGAGCCCCTTGGCCCGGAGAGGCGGCGAAGTGAAGACACCTCCGAGGAGGTGTTTCTTTGTGTTCGGTTTTTAGCCCCCCCGGGCCGTGTTGTTTTTTTCTTTCTCGGGCAGGTTGAGATATTAAAAAAAAAAAATCCGGGGGCCTAGTTGTATGACTTTTAATTTTTTCCTGGCGGGTGGAAAACCTGGTGCAACACGGGGCCTAGTTACGGCAACGTTTTTTTGTTTGTGTAATCAACCAACCAGTTTATTGTCTTGTTCTACGGTTCCTCTTTGATTTTACCAAAGCCGCCTGGGGCCCTGTCTTGTTCATGGTTTCTCTTTAATCTGTCCAAAGCCTTGAACGCTCGGACAACGACCTGCCTTGCCAACCCAGCTAGCTTAAATGTAGATAACTTGCAGCGGCTCTACCTCTTGCCAAGTGAGATTATTTGATCCGGAGTGCCCAACGCACACAGATGATCACAAGAAAGCAACACTTTCAGACAGTGATCAACACACGCATCAGAAACAACTGGCATTTACTGTAAGTCACTTTGACAAACAACTAGGCAACACAACAAGCAATCTACCAACAAACCACCAGTAGATGTACCACACAAAGCAATCATCACACTCATCTATACAATCCTTTACATGTATAATATGTATATATATATATATACACGTATATTTACATACACTAACAGAAAGCATACATGAGCAACAAAACCAACAAGCGCTCAACGCCAGGCAAGCGGATTTTCTCGGCTCGGCGTAGGGTAGCGCTTGACTCCGCCGAGGTCGCCGCAGGAGATCCAAGCCATGCTGAGCACCCTGGAGCCTCGGGCCAGCTGTTGGCGTGGAGAGGGCCCGGATTTTGAGGGTACCCTTTCGGTGGGGCAGGGCTCCGTAAAAGATACATTTGGCCATTAGAAACATGTTGCTTTTTCCACCAAAACAAAGGGAAACTACCATTTACAAGGCAATGTTCAGGTGTGGAATGTAAGGATCCCTGCTTTTGGTGAAAGCCGGAAGAGCACAGAGTTTGAGGCGAACGGACCCTTTTGGAAGACTTGGTTCCATTTACAGACGCCTTTTGGGAGCTTCCATGTTAGTCTGAGGGAGTGTACCGTTTGGTGGGGGAAGACCGGAAGAGCACGGAGTTTGAGGTACCCTTTTGGGTTTTTGTGGGGGAAAACCAACGGAAAAGGGCCCTTTTAGGTTTGTGTGAGGGAAACCAACCGAAAAAGGGCCCTTTTGAGTTTTTGTGAAGGAAAACCGACGGAAAATTGGCCATGGGGGAAAATGGGCCATGGGGGAAACCAACAGAAACAGGGCCCTTTTGGTTTGGGGGTGTGTTTTGTTCACGTGTCGTTTCATCATGTGGCAAAGCGGCCGAATGGCCGTTTGGCTCAAGATTTCAACCTCCCGTCAGGGCAATCTCGGACCCACGTGCACCCGCCATAACACGGCGGCACTCTTCGTCCCCGAGGTGAAAACCGTGGGGCTGCGGGGCGCCGGTGTTAGGAGGTAGGTGGTCGGTCGTCGAGGTCATCCTGGGCTTGATTGACTTCTCTACTTTTGCAACCTATTTCCCAACCTCCCCAAACACCGTCTTTTTCCACCGTCACATCCTCAACCCGGTCATCATCCACAGCTTCACCCGAGTTGTGTTTCCGGGTGCTTTGGGTACATTGTGATCTACCTTGTGCTCATTTGCTTCCCTGGGCTACTTCGTGTTCGCCCAAAACCGCAGGTTATCAGCCGTACCAGCTAGAAGCTGGGGCTGGTGATCCGGTTGCGGGACGTGACCCGCTACCTGCTCCCATCGCCTACTTGTACGAGCAATGGCGTCCCCCGGAGCTTCACATCGTGGGCCGGGCTTCGTGGACGACGAGGCCAACGCCCTTCGCGGCAACGCCGCGCCTGCTGCTCCCGGCTTAGACAGCCGGCTGTGGCCCATTCCCCCGATGGTGGGCGCAGAGCCCAATCCCGGGGTGATCACGGACGATTGGATCCTTTCTCAGGTCGTGTTTGATGAGGATGCGGAGGCCCCTATCCCGGCGGCAGTGCTTCAGATCGAGGACGGACCCCCTCTAGAAGAGGCTGAGGTTCCTCCAAATCAGGTGCCCTCATCGATTTCGCCTACTGTTCCGTTCGTGGCGCTCCAGATCGAGGACCGGGCTGTCCATCATGCTGCTCATCCGGAGCCGGCTCAATCATGGTCCCTTACATGGGATCAGTTTGACCAGCTCCTCGGCAGTGGATCGCAGGCTACACCGCCTGATTTCGGTCGGCTCGACTTTAACTCGGGTGCCCCCATATCGGTTGGGAATCTGGATTTTCAATCCCTTTTTGATGCTGATTGGAGGTCTCAGCCTTCCCGAATTGACAGATCTTTTGATGCCCTGCCTACACATGAGCCTACTCAGGGTTTTCCTCATGATGGAGAAAATGACCCCATTGAAGATTTCTCCCCTTCTCATGTTGCAGGTTCGGCCCAACCCGAGGTGGGCAAACGGGCGATTGAGGATTGGCCGCAAATAGCTGGCCTTCCTCCCGTCTCAGGTTCATCCGACATTGACATCATTCACGATCACCCCAGTCCGGCGGATATGGACTTTATCCCTGACGCAGTATCATCTCACCTGTCAGGTACCCGCGACCGGAATGCGGACCGCTACAACGCTGGTCCGAATCCACCGCTTTCCTCAGGTACCCGAGGTCGGGATGCGAACCGCTACAACGCGGGCTCAAATCCGCCAAATCGGGCATCAAGTACTAATCGATCGGACGCGGGCCGCGAAACAGCAGGCCCAAATCCTTCCTCCACTTCATCAAGAAGCCATGCCGGTCTATTCGCGGCGTTCAATCGGCGTCAGACTCGAAAAGAGTCCGCCCCCGACGTCATCGACCTCGAAGAGCAGTCCAGCCACCGTACCAGTGATGGATCCGAGCAGGATACACCTGGTATTGGCTCTACTCCCTTCGACCTCCTCGACATCCCCTTCCATCAGCCACCCAGGAGAGGAAATGAAGATGATGAAACCATCCCTGGGATCCTTGATGTAATCGATGAGGCCGAGGTCACACCAGAGAGACGAACGACATCGCTCCCGCCGAGCCGCGTTGCCAAAGTACTTTCCCCTAAGCCACTCATTGGTGACGTTGCTCAACGGCTTGATCTCACTCAACCTGATCCAGATCAAGCTCAACTTCGCGGGTCGTCATCTTTTGATAACATGTCGGGACAAACCGGCACTGACTCACGAGCCACAAAGAGGAGCTCTGAGTCACCCGAGAGACGTGAAGCTGCTTTGCGATTGCGATCTAATCCCCCAGCTCATCACGATCCTATTGACGTTCCTATCCACTCTGCGGGGTCTGGGCTCAGCTCCAATGCCCCGATGTCTGAGAAGGAGACTGATGACGGGATTAACTCTACGCCCAGGAATCGGAGACCTGGACTTAGCACTGTTGCTCCTGGTCATGGAGGGCTTCCTTCAAATCAACCGGTCAACAACTCCCTCGTCCCCGCATTCTTTCAAATTGGAACTCCGGGCTGCACTCCCGACAGGGAAGAAAATAGGCGCGGAGATCATGACGCTGATAGTCGTCCTGCTCCGTCTGCTTCCACAAGTGGCGGCCATCCTGTTGCATCTGAGCTTCAACGACTGCTTCTCGCGATCCACAACGAGGTAAAGGGGTGCAAGGCCGAAATCCAGGGATGCAGAACTGAGATTCGTTCATGTAGGGATGATATCAACGCTTGCGTCGGTGAGATCAAGAAGATCAATAACCGTGTTGACGCCTTCGAGAAGAAGGTTGAATCATCTTTCTCTGCCGTTGCCGGAACTCTCTCAAAACACGAGGCCAAGTTCCGTGATTTCCACGAGTGGGTCGCCCGAAGCGAGAAGGAGATGAATGAGCGTTTCAAGATGTATGATGAGAGGTCTGACTCGATCGTCATATCCGCTGCTGAACTTCGCGAGCAGGCCGAATCACTTGAGAACGTCAAGGTCCAGCTCCTTAGGTTCTCTGAGATCGGGGCCCTTGAGGCTGAGGTTCGGAAAATCAAGGACGAAGTTGAGGCGAACTCTCGCAGTGTCATCGACATTGAGGGAACCATCTCAAGGGAAAGAACCATCCGTGGGAACGTCGAGACGTATATCCAGCAGCTCGTTCCTGCGACCGACCTGAAGCAGTTCAGTGATAGGATGTCCGGAGCTCTCAATGAGAACTCACAGAAACAGGAAGAGTTCAAGCTTCAATTGTCCCGTATTGCTAGATGCGTCAAGGACCTTCATGACAAAAGCTTAGGCCCCAATCCGAGGGACATGCAAGAGCAGTTTATGAAGCTTGTGCTGAGGGTCAATGAGATCAACATGCAGATCGCTGAGTTGAGGGAGCAACCTCTTGCTGCCTGCGGGCCTTCAAGTGCTGGCGCTGCTTCGACCGCCGGAACGGGACCATGGGAGAAATCTGGAGACACTGATCCCTTAACCCAGGGAAGGGCTCCTAGAGATTCTCCCTCTCGTGATGCTCGCACCGTCAGCTCGGCTAGGCCTCCTCCACCTCCACCTCCTTCAGGGCCACCCCCACCGTCACCATCAGCCCCCATCTTCGGCAGGGATCCCTCTAGAACGAGGGCCATTGCTCGGGCTGCCGGCGCTGCCCCTGATAACCGGGCCAGGTGTGATCATGAGGAGCCCGGGCATCCACAGCATCGGGAACCTCGCTATCCATGCCGAAGCTGCGGCAAGTCAGTCTGCGAAGACTGCTTTGACCATGATTGTAACTCGTGTTTCAAGTGCAGCGATCAGTTTCCTAGATGCCGCGCATGCAGAGGAAGAGGGGGGAGACACGGACTTGTGAGGTGTCTCATATGCAAGGACGAGTACTGCGATCAACACATCGCCTCACCTGACGATGTGCGCCGTTTTGGATCGAGTGTTCGACCTATTTGCCTCGGTTGTCTGAGAGCTGACCCCGACGGGAAAACTAAGCATCGCGGTCCCAGTGCGGGGCCTGGAGGACCTGATTGCATTCCTGATCATAATCAGCGGGATGGCACTGCTCCTGATCCTGGATCCGGGCCATCACGTGGAGATCCGTCACATCGGAGTCCTGAACCGCACCAAGGGAATTCTGGTTTCTGTTCCCACGCCGGAGCTGCCGGGCCAATGCCACCAAGGGCAATGTCTTCGCCCGTAGTCGGACGAGCAGTTCCGAGGGGGACCATCAACACGTACCCCGGATGTTCCCCTACAGGGGGGATTTTCACCGGTCAGGTTGAGCATGGAACGTCTCAGGGAGTCATTCGCGGGAGATACGGACCTGACGCTGCTGTGACAAATCAGCAGAATCCACAGCCTCACCACGGAGCACAGGATAACTCTGGCGGGCCAACTGGTTTTTCTCTTCCACCAGGACTCGGTAAGGGTGTGCATGGCGTTGGTGGCGTCGGCGGTATTGGAGCTCCCGATATTCGCCGATCTTCCGCTGAGGAGAGAGTCTGCCCTCGGTGCAACATAAATGTCAAGACCAGCATCCCCGGGACACCTCCATGTTTCCAAACTTGTTCATTGTGCCGCACTTCTCTATGCGCCGCGTGCTGCCCGCCATCGTCCGGGAGTTGCTCTCTGTGTGCCATATCCATTGGCAGAGACGGCGTTTTACCTCCCCATGTTTTTGGGCAGGCTACTCGACCGCCCTTAACTTCGTTGCCATCTGAGGCGAACAAGTGCGCCAACATAGAGCTCGAAAAAGAGCCCGCACCGCATGAGTTGCGAGACTGGATCATTTCCACGAGAGAAATCGTGAGCAACGCATTCAGCTATGACTCGCCATATGCCATGTCTTGGGTCATGAGTGTCGAAAACGCCAGCACAATAGAGGAACTTGATGGGGAGTGCCTCTACCCGATCCTTGACAATAAGTTCAATGCTGCACTGAGAAAGTGCATCACATCGAAACCTATTGTTGCCAAGATCAGCAGGCTGACTGAAGAGGCTCAGGTGAAAAGGGGGACGAGGCTGAAAAGCCGCCAGATCCTGTTCTGTCTCATTGAATACCTTCGTCCCGATGAAGTCGGGAGCCAGTCTATCCGTACGAATGAACTTCTTCGCCTATCCCTCGGCAGAGCTGCCGGGTCTGGCGAGCCTCAGCTTGAGAAATTCCTTGATAAATGGGAAGGACTCCTGGGCGGAATCACCGCACCGATTGATCACCATGTTCTTCAGCATGTTTTCTTTGAGCAAGTTCGACACTCACCATGCTTGATGCCTGACGTACAACACTGGGATCGTAATCCAGACGTGCAAAATTACGACTGGATCATGAGGGCCGCTCGCAACGCTGTATCGAGGTGGAGGACGAGGTACAATGTCTCTGAGATAAAGGATCGAATGTACTCCCGATCTCCGCATGCTGATCGCAACCCGAATGCCGCCGCTCCTGGGGTGCGCCGTCCTTCGCCGTTTGGGGATACTCGCAAGACAGGGGACGCGAGATCAAGTGATCGTGATCGCGGAAAGACGCGATCTGATGACCCCAGGCGGAGTAGCAGGGAGCGCCCTTCTCCAGGAAGAGATCGCCGCCATGAGCATCCTGCCACCCCTGGAGTCTGTCATGATTGGCAGAAGGGGCAATGTAGGCGAGGTTCTGACTGCCGCTTTGCGCACCATGAGGAGAAGCCGAATTCTCCCCGCGATAACGACGGTCCCATATACCCTGGGTACTGCAGAGAGTGGCTAAACGTCGGCAAGTGCACGCGTCCAAAGTGCACGTACAAGCATGAGAAGCCCCCTCCTGACCTAGCTCCGCTTCCCAGGAAGCCCAGTGCCCCTGCTACTGAGCAGGGGGGTGATTCGTCGAATCCCTATCCTGATGGGCGAATTGACAGTCCCGCACCCGGGGTTGACGAGGGTTTCTGAGAGGGGCGGGCCGTTACCCACAGGCCTCGCCGGGAATATCTATCGCATGCCCAGCGACCAAATGCGAGTCTGGTGGCCTGACGGGTGCCCTTTCTGACGGGACACCCGGCCGCTCTCCTCCTGCTGATGCACAGGTGTGGTCTAGAACCGATCACCGGGCTTGCATGTTTCAGGGACCCACTGGTGGAGGCCCCGAGCTACAGCATGCGGTGTGGAGACGTACCGTTTCCATCCCCGACGGACGGGTTATCCAGGACCTTCCAATCACCTCTCACACTTCGCGGAATAGGATGTTCTGTCCTATCGGTTTTACCGGCGACGTGAAAACTACTTTTTGGTCATACACTGATCCTGTTAAGCGTGCCGCGTGGAATGCCTCTATGCGTCCGAACGTCTACAACGACGATCGCAGCCCGACAGTTCAGATCAATGACTCCGCCATGATTGAGTATATCGTCGTTTCCGATAACAACCTTATGAAGCAGATTTCTCATGTCTCTCAGAAATCCAGGAATCCTTCATATACTCACTCTGGGGAGTTCAAGAACGCTTCAAAAATCACCATTGAACGGCAAAGTGAGAAGGCCATTCTCCGCGCACTCTCCATGCAGGAGCAGGTCGCCATTGATCAGGAGGGCGAATACCTCGAATCTAAACCGATTCGACGGCGCATGATGTATAGAGCATCGCGCATGTCCTCCACTCCATCCGCTCCTGGTCACGAACGATCGATCCGATGGCTTGCTGATACAGGCTGCCCCATCGACCTTGTTGGACTGAACGAACTTAGTGCCGGAGAGCAGAGTCTGGTGAGAAAACCGGACGTACCCATGCCCTGCAGACCGCCAACGGTACGGCGTCGACCCTCGGAAGCATTGCTGCTGATATGCAGGACATTGACGAGGTGATTGATGCCCACGTCATGCAGAACACGCCTTCGCTTATCTCTATTGGCAAACGCTGTATGGAGCAAGGTTATACATTCACCTGGCCCGCAGGTGAGCTTCCCGTCCTTCAAGGACCTGATGGCAAGGAAATTGTGCTCGACGTGCTGAACAACGTCCCGTACTTGCCTGCCTCACGTTGTAACTTCAGTTCTCCGGTAGCCAATCAGTACCCTGACATCCCTGCTGTTCCCGCTCCTTCTGCTCTTTCCGGGGATGTCATCCAAGAGGGAACAGAGGACATACCTTCTGTACCCGAAGGCCATCCTGGCCCACCCGACCCTGATCCTCCTGCCTCTGATCCAATTGAGGAAACCGTCGAACTTGAAGGCCACGGCCCCCTGCGTAGCGCCGATGACTGGAGAGCTGACGCCTTGACCCTCCGCCACATGATGACTCATCTTCCCAAGAACCCTTTTTGCTCGCATTGCCAGCGTGCCAAGATGGAGAATGTTAGGCTGTTCCGGAAGAAGGGCGCGGCTGGTCATGGAGCCGAAGACTTTGGCGACTTAGTCACCGCCGACACGATGGTTCTGCGAGGGCTACGTGACAGGGGCATCAACGGCGAGGCCGACGCCATCGTTTTCTATGATCTCGCCACTTCGTGGATCGATGTCATGCCTGTCATGAACCGCTCTGACGCTAACACCGTCGACGCTTTCAACCGCTTCGCAGGGCCTCAAAATGACATCAAGATGATGCACACTGATCAAGCTAAAGAACTTGTCAGTGCTTGCAAAGAACTGCGCTGGATACATGAATGGTCTACTCCGGGAATGCCAAAGACCAACGGCATCATTGAAAACAAAGTCAAATTAGTCCTTCATGGTGCACGTGTGCTTTTACGTCAAGCCGGGTTAGAAGCCCGATGGTGGCCCTACGCAACAAAGTACTTTGCCGTCGCTAGGAACATCGAGAATCGGGGAGGTGGAAGCGCGTGGTCTAAAAGACACGCCCCCCTTCCTTTCAACGGCAAGCTTCTTCCCTTCGGTTGCTTGGTTGATTTCTTCCCCGTCGCCCCCAAACCGCGTCGTGTTGAAAAGGGGGGGATCAAAAACGCCCCCGAAGATCAAAATAAGCCTGCCGACGATGACTATTGGAGCAAAGACGAAGAGAACGAGTGTGTTATCCGTATACACCGGACACCTAGAAAGAAACTCTTCGATCCAAGGGGCTCCAACTGCCCGATCGACGTTGAATTCCTCGCTGACGAAACTCTCACCATCATTAAATATCTCAACGGTGAAAATGACTCTATTCAGTCAACCACGTGGAGAAACCTGAGTGATCCTAGAGATGATCAATCGCAAGATTGGATTGGCGAAACCTATTTTCAGGTCGACGTCCACGCTCTCGAGAAATGGGGCGAAACCTCAAGGGAAGACGCACCTCTTTCTGATGATGACTATGAACCCATGTCAGCAGAAGAAATCCAGGAAGCTCTGCGCGACTGTGACTACGACCCCCTCGCTGATTCGCTGAGGAAGAATCTAGTATCGCTCCCGCTGTTCCCGGCGAAGAACACGATCACTATAAGGCTCCCAAGTTCGCCCCTGTTGCCAAACCTGGTGTTTTCCTTGGTTATCGGTTCGAACCCGGAGGGAAATGGAAAGGCGACTACTATGTTGCTGACCTCGAGCATTTTCAGGCTGGAGTTGTTCGGCCTAGTATCCACCAAGTGAAACAGATCTACCACGATGCTGAAGAGCCGTTCGTGTTTCCTCTGCTAAAAGCATATGAGGCTCGTACCCGAGAAATTGCATCATACAAGCATGATCGCCTGCCAGACCCTGATCGCCTCAGCGGAAAAATTCTGTCCCGTGAAGACGAGTCCTTCAGCTTTGACGAGGGGCGCTTTGACCATGGGGACGATGAGGATGATCGTCGAAATCGGCGACAGAATGATGGCTCTGACAATGTTCCTGAGACTGACCTCATAGATCGTCACGTCTCGGATGGATCTTCCCCTGACAAAAGGGATGACTACTGGGTGCGCTTTGAAGAAGAAAGGTCCTGGCATCGATACCATGTCAAGGCGAGAAAGGACTTCTTTGGAGACGACACCCGTCCTCTGCCTTCAGGGGGGCCGGTCCAAGCTGATCTCGACGACATCAGGATCACTCATTGCAACTTCCTCGATTCCAGAGATGAGGTCTATCGCGACTCCCGTGATGTGTATGCCAGCGGCCATCGGGTTAGAACACACAAGTTCTGGACCGGGGTTACCATCCTCTTTGACAAGGGGTGCGCGCCCAAAAGGAGGCGTCCCTCTCCCAAGAAGCCGCTCTGCGAAAATGTATTACCGGGAAGTAAGGAGGACATTGATTATCCTCAGTCCTCCAAACGCAAAGAACGTCCCTACACCGGGACGGGGAAGCCCAACTCCATCTCGTCCGATGATTGGCGAGCCATGTCGCTCACCGCGCGAAGGATCTATGTCAGCACTGAGAGGGAGCTTGAGGTTGAGAAGTCT